GCTTGTGATTTTTGCACATTGATTTTGTATCCTGAGACTTTGCTGAGGTTGCTTATTAGCTTAAGGAGATTTTGGGCTGAGACGATGGGGTTTTCTAAATAGACAATCATGTCATCTGCAAACAGGGACAATTTGACTTCCTCTTTTCCTAATTGAATACCCTTTCTTTCTTTCTCCTGCCTGATTGTCCTGGACAAGAACTTCCAACACTATATTGAATAGGAGTAGTGAGAGAGGGCATCCCTGTCTTGTGCCAGTTTTCAAAGGAAATGCTTCCAGTTTTTGCCCATTCAGTATGATGTTGGCTGTGGGTTTGTCATAAATAGCTTTTATTATTTTGAGATACATCCCATCAATACCTAATTTATTGAGAGTTTTTAGCATGAAGGGCGGTTTAATTTTGTCAAAGGCCTTTTCTAACCAAGCAGATTTTTAAATCAGGGTTGCAAATGGCCGGGCTTGGTGGCTCGTGCCTATAATCCCAGCATTTTGGGGGGCCGAGGGTGGCGGATCACCTGAGGTCAGGAGTTCGAGACCATCCTGGCCAACATGGTGAAACCCTATCCTACTAAAAATACAAAAATTAACCTGACGTGGTGGCAGGAGCCTGTAATCCCAGCTACTTGGGAGGCTGAAGGAGGAGAATCACTTGAACCTGTGAGGGGGAGGTTGCAGTGAGCCGAGACCATGCCACTGCACTCCAGCCTGTGGAATAGAGTGAGACTCTGATTTAAAAAAAAAAAAAAGAAAAGAAAAGAAAATTTCTACATTTTGCAAAAGAAAGAAAACATATATATTGTCAAGAAAAAGACAAGAAGCATACATTAAGATGATGCTAGACTCCATCTCAAAAAAATTCAATAAAATTAGAGTCACAGAAAACAGAGGCTTTTGAATTTCACAATGATACTTTAAAATAATATTTGAAGCATTTTTCTAGTTTCATCCAAATTCAGACAGGAGTGATTTGGGTTAACTTTGGTGTCTGTTTCTGTGGATGTTTAGCCCCTTGAAATACCCCTATTCCTTCTTCGTATGTTTTTATGTTTTCATCAAATAATAGAAGTTTCGGTAAATGGTAACTCTTGTCTCCTTACACAAAGAGAAAAGGTTTCTCGTGACCTCAAGAGTGCATATGTCTTTGCCCCTTTTTTTCAGCCTGAATCCCACCTAATTAACAGCAAATCTGTGGGAGGGTCTGTCGTTTCTCAGAGATCTCCAAGGAACAAAGTTCATCCTTCCTCAGGGCCTTGCTTCCTTTCTCATAACCTTCTCTGTCGAATACTGTTTGCTGATGTTTAACATGGGAATACGTCCACTTCCTCCATCCTGTCGATAATGATAATGCACAGGTGGTTGTTTCTTACTTGTTTTGTAACCCTTTATAAAGCTACCATGTCATTCCTCAGCATTCTCTTTTAACTAAATCATTTCATTTCCTTCTTGTGTGTTTTAATTTTTGTCACAGAACAAGCCAGCACTTTAGTTTTGTTAAATTTTCGTTGAGGAACTTTAAAATAATTCCTTTTTGTTACCAAGTTAGATATGTGGCTTTTCATCTAACAAGCAGTTACTGGGTGTTTCCTGTGTGCCAACCCTAGGAATATAAGGCAATTGAAACACAAGTCCTGGGAGTTCACAGTCTCATGAGGAGTCCAAATCTAGCCCATTTCCTGATGTGGAACCCCATAGGTATATTTGATTATTTTTTGAGAGAGAGAGAGGAAAAAAAAGGGAAAAAATGCAAGCTAAGCATTGTCACTGAAGAACAGGTAGCACCTAAGGGCTCCGGAAACATGCCACCTGAAGACGGTGGAGTGCAATAGGTTGGAATAGCATATCCAAGGGAGCGGGTTACACTGACAGATCTTAAATCTAGGAAAGAGAGCGAATGGACACGGCCAGAAAATCTAGCTAGTCTGCCTGAGTGACACCTCTAGTCAGGATCTGGGAGTAAGCATATTAGGCAGAAAGGAAAGAAGAATATAAGGGTGAGTTAAATAACCAGAGATAGGAGGCCATGTCCTGAGAGCATGGAAGACTTCCATTTTCTTGTTTGTGCTAAAAGACTACTGTGAATAAAGGTGTACATTTATTTACTTTAAATACATTATTTGAAGAAAAAGGTTTTTACAAACATGGAATCCATGCTTAATATTGGGCAGTCTCTGTTTTCTTATTAGGAAAAAGAAATATTGAAGTCCTTTTCAGCAGTAAAATTGTTACATCTGAACTCAAGACAAGCACATCTGTCACCTAGGAATAGTACAGTGAGACCTGTCCCCATTTGTGACAGCAAGTGTATATTGGAGGGTAATAAATGAGGTGGTTGTTTTCCTTTCTCTCTCTTAAAATCTCAATCCAAAGTCATAGTGTCAGCATCTTTCTCAGTACTCGTTCCAGTCTGCCTTCTGGTTTTCCAAATGGGCTCAATGTTGTCAGAATCAGAGAGAAGATATTTGTGCCTTCTAAGGGCTATAAATGGACCTGAGAACCTAAGAATGATACCTGTTAGTAATCCTACTATAGTCATGTAAAGAAGGATTGAAAAATAACTTTTAGGCTGGGCACGGTGGCTCACCCCTGTAATCCCAGGTGTGAGCCACTGTGCCCTCCCTTTCCTTCCCTTTCCTTCCCTTCCTTTCCCTTCCCTTGCCTTCCACTTCTCTTCCACTTCCCTTCCACTTCCCTTTCACTTCCCTTTCACTTCCCTTTCACTTCCCTTTCACTTCCCCTTCTCTTCTCTTCTCTTCTCTCGTGTTTTATTCTTTCATTCATTTGTTCATTCGTTCATTCTTTCTTTCTTTCACTCTTTTCTGTCAGAGTCTCACTCTGTCCCAGACTGGAGTGCAGTGGTGTGATCTCAGCTCACTGCAGCCTCTGCCTCCCAGGCTCAAGTGATTCTCCTGCCTCAGCCTCCTAAGTAGCTGCGATTATAGGCACCTGCCACCATGGCTGGCTAATTTCTTATTTCACTTTGGGAGGCTGAGGTGGGTGGACCACCTGAGGTCAGGAGTTTGAGACCAGCCTGGCCAACCTGATGAAACCCTGTCTCTACTAAAAACACAAAATTAAGCTGGGCATAGTGGTGGGTACTTGTAATCCCTGCTACTTGGGAGGTTGAGGCAGGAGGATCACCTAAGCCCAGGAGGCAGAGGTTGCAGTGAGCTGAGATCGTGCCATTGCACTCCAGCCTGGGTGACAGAGTGAGACTCCGTGTCAACAAAACCCAAGGAAAAATAACTTTTAGGAGATTGTATAGTAACTGGATTAGGAATAGAACTCAGAATCCTGCCTTAGTTATTTATTTTTATTTATTTTATTTTTGAGATGGAGTCTCGCTCTGTCACCAGGTTGGAGTGTAGTGGCACGATCTCAGCTCACTGCAACCTCCGCCTCCCAGGTTCAAGCCATTCTTGTTCTGAGCCTCCTGAGTAGCTGGAATTACAGGTGCCTGCCACCATGTCCATCTAATTTTTGTATTTTCAGTAGAGACAGGGTTTTGACATGTTGACCAGGTTGGTCTTGAACTCCTGACCTCGTGATCCGCCCACCTCGGCCTCCCAAAGTGCTGGGATTACAGGGTTATTTTAATTAAGTAGATTTTACTTCTCCTTTTAAGAATGTTTTTATTTGAAACTAAATAAAAATAAACAGAAAACCTATCATGCGTCTTGGAACATTGTCAGAATTGTGTATGACCATTTTAAGCTCTCTTAGACTTTTATGAGGACGTAGGATAAATATACCCTTGTATCATCTTGTTATTTAGTAATTATTACTTCTCGTCTTAACTTTACCTTCTGAACAAAAATTTCTGGAAGAAATATTTTGGGGCAATGTTATGAAATATTGAATAATGTATGTTGTCCCAATTACAGTGGTTTAGATATGAGATGTATTATATCATCCATGACTCATCCTTTATAAATTACCAAGTGCGTATTTTTTTTCATTTTGGATTTCTTAAATCAGTTGAATAACATAAATAAGGGAAAACCAGATTCGTATATCTTTCCCATAAAGAACCTGCAAGGTCACGTTTGTTCAGAGTCAAAGGACTAATACACAGTGTTTTGGTTTTGGTGTGTTTGGTGTTATGACAAAAATCTTGTTACTATGGGAACCGTAAAGAATGGAGTTAAATGTTAGTTTATTGCCCTCTTGTGGAAATTTGTAAGAATGGCTTTTTCCTTTCAAAATCTTATTTTGATACAACCTTTTGAAATTTTAGCTCAATTGGTCTGTGATGACTTGGTCTTAGCTATAGGTTTTTATCAAGTATACTGTTATGGACTCAATATAAAAGGATTTATATAAATAAAAATATTTCAGTTCTCAAAGCATATAAAACACAAGTATTTTTTCATTATTAAGGAATTAATAATGGCACATTATCATATAGCAATCTAGAGTCTTCTGAGATACAGACAGTGTCAGAATCTGTTGTCTTCATATTGCTTACATGATGTCTAAGTCCACTAAAAAGAAATGACTTTCCCATTGGACGTTAACCTAATGTAAGGATAAATAACACTCAGTACTATTTTAACAAAGTAATCTGCTTGCTACTTTGTTGGTGTTGCCACATGAATTTTGGCAAAGTGTGATGGTTTCATATGACTTTCTGGATGGATCTGGCTAGTTCTCAGCAAGGGTAGAGAGATACTCCCTGCCATATTTGGTCTACTTTTTTGAAAGGCTCTCCGTCTGACTCCTTGGGCACATATTGTCAGTAATGTCTTACAAACTGCATCTGTTTATCTTTAAATTCCAAATAGAATGTCATCCAAATTCAGAAAGTACATGTGGCTGAAAACAGTGCAGCTGTGAGAACAATCATACTGTGAGTATATAGAAGTTGAGGACATGTGGAAGATGTTATAGCAGGAATGAAAGAATTTGGATAGAGGCAGAACTTAGAGGCCATTATAATTATAGCTCATGGAATTTCACCAATTTCACTAAGTCTTCAATGAAAAACAAATACTAGTTTATGTTTAGGAGGTTGGCTGTCATATAGTCATTTCTACCAAAAACTAAAAAATTACCACAGAAGCTCATAGCTTTACTACCCTCAGATGCCTGAATGATAAGACAAGTTTCTTTAACATCATAAAGGGCCTGATCTCAGTAAAAGGATCATATTCTTCTAAAAGCAGCAGCTATCAGAATCTGTCTGAGTGGGAGTTGAGGCCATTTGTATATTTAAGTGCTCTCCAGAGGATTTCTCAGATGGCTGGTAGCCACCCCCAGCCTATGGGGTCCAAAATGGATCTTTTTTTTTTTTTTTAAAGAAATGTAGGGTCTTGCTCTGTCACCCAGGCTGGAGTGCAGTGGCACAGTCATCAATCACCGCAGCCTCGAACTCTTGGGCTCCGTTGATCTTCCCACCTAAGCCTCCCAAGTAGCTAGGACTACAGGTGTGCATCGCCAGGCCCAGCTAACTTTTTAAAACCTTTTTGTAGAGAGAGACTCTTGCCGCTCACTACATTGCCCAGGCTGGTCTCAAACTCCTGGCCTCATGTGATTCCCCCCACCTTTTCTTCCAAAGTGTTGGGATTCCAGATGTGAGCAACATGCCCAGCTCAAAACTGAACACTTAAAGAATTTGCATCCTTCCCTCTGCTCCCTGCTTCCCTAGGCCCATCCCAATAAGCTCCTTCTGCATCCCCCCTTCCCCCCCTGCCTTTTTTTTTTTTTTTTGGAACAGGGTCTCACTCCGTCACATCGTTTTTTTTTATCTTGTTAAACGACACGTCCGTTTTTCCAGTTGCTCAGGTCAAAACTTGGAGTCTTCACTAACTCTTCTGTGTTTTACATACTTCGTTTCAAATCCATTAATAAATCCTATTGGTTCTACTTTCAAAATATATCCCAAATTTGACCAGTTCTCACCACTTCCACTATTACTGCTCTGATCTAAGCCAGTACCTTCTTTCACCTGGATTATTGCAGTAACTTCTCTACTTCTATCCTTGCTGTGCTAAAAATTATTGTAACACAGAAACTGGCGTGATCATTATAAAACTTAAGGAAGTTTGTATTTCCCCTCTGCTTAGAACTTTGCAGTGGCTCTTCATCTCTCTTAGAGTAAAAGCCAAGGCCCTAGGAGGTGCCCAGCTGGTATGGCCCCCACGGCCCTCTGGCACCATTTATTGCCCTTCACCTGATTATTTTCTTCCCTAGAATTCATCACCGTCTCTCTCTCTCTCTATATATAGTATGTCCTCTCTAAAATACTCATCAGCACCACAAGGACAGATAATTGGTCTGTTTTGTTTGCTATTGTGTCCCTAGCACCTACAACAGTGCATTGTAGGTGCTCTGTAAACAAGTTGATTGAATGCATGAATGCATGAATGTAGGTAGGTAACAGGTTGCAAATGGGCAGTTCATGGTCCCATCTGTCTGGGCTCTATTCCTATTTCTGCTCTTACTGGTTAAATAATTTGGCAAGTTACTTTATCTCTTTGGGTTTCAGTTTCCTTACCTGTAAAATAAGGATAGTCGTTGTACTTCCCTTGTAGATTTGTGGAAGAGATTAAATGAATGTAAAGTATTTAGCTTGTGGCACGTTGTTCAAATGTGTTAGCTCTTGTTACTAGAGCATCTTCCATGTTTATGGTAGATCGGTCATTCTCAGTATAGTCCCTGAAAACCTGCCTCAGGATCACCTGGAGCTTATTTAAAATGCAGTTTCCTGGGTTCCAGTCCAGAAATCTGAGAAGAGTCCTGAAAGACCTGCGTTTTTACTAGCTCTCCAGGTGGCTTGTTGCATATGAAAATCTGGGAATTCTATGTTAGACGGAGGAGTGATGGGCAACAGCTAGAGCATGGCAATCCTGAGCATGGGGTCAGGTGAGGATGAGGGGACTCTACCTATAAGGAATTGGAAGGAGGGGCCTTTCCCTCTCAGTGGTGTGTGTGGTGTGTCTGGAGGTGATGGTTGGGACTGGGAAATAGGCATTGAGAAGCAAATGGGTCCTCTGGCTGCTGCTGATTTTAAAATGATCTTGTTCTGGGATGAGAGTCGATAGCCATGCCTAATTATTTTCTTGTCATTGGCAGTGGGATGTTCTATGATGGGAACCACACATATCTCATTGAGCCAGAAGAAAATGACACTACTCAAGTAAGTGCTCCTTCTGTTTGTTGTGGCAAATGGAAATGTTTGTGCTGAGAGCTTTTTTCCTCTCCTTTTTTTTTCTACTTTATTTCATTTTTATATTGTTTAGGGTTAAGATAGTAAACATATGTACAGATGCTCCTCGACTTATGATGGGTCTATGTCCTGATAAACCTATCATAAGTTAAAAATATTATAAGTCGAAAATATATTTAATACCCTGATAAATGCATCATAAGTCAAAAACATGTAAGTTGGGGACTGTCTGTATATTTTAAACTAAATATTGAGTAAGTCAAAACCACAAGTGTTTTTTAAAAAATTTCTTGCCGGGTGTGGTGGCTCACGCCTGTAATCCCGGCACTTTTGGAGGCTGAGGCGGGCATGAGATCGGGAGTTCGAGACCAGCCTGGCCAACTTGGTGAAACCCCGTCTCTACTAAAATCCAAAAATTAGCCAGGTGTGGTGGCATGTGCCTATAATCCCTGCTACTTGGGAGGCTGAGGCAGGAGTATTGCTTGAACCTCCTGCCACTGCACTCCAGCCTGGGCGACAGAGTGAGACTCCATCTCCAAAACAAACAAACAAACAGCAAATTTCTTTTGTTTCTTTCTCTTTTATTTTGGAAATATAGTACTTTCCCTTTGAGGTGTTCTGAAACCTCTATTTCCATCTCCACCCTAATGTGTTATGATCTTTCTTAGTCTGACTTGGCTACCATAACAAAATCCTGTAGACTGGGTTGCTTAACCAACAGAAACTTTTATCTTTATCTCAGTTCTGGGCACAGGAAGTCCAAGGTGCCAGCATGGTTGACATCTGGTGAGGGCTCTTTGTTTGAGTTGCAGACAGCTGCCTTCTCACTGTGTTCTCACATGGCAGAGAGGGAGAGAGAACTCTGGTTGTCTCCTCTTGTTATAAGGGTACCAGCTATACTGAATGAGGATCTTACCCTTATGACCTCATTTATCATTTATCACTGCCTCACAGGCCTTATCTCCAGACAAAGTCACCCTGGGTGCCAGGGTCTCAATATGAGAATTTTGGGGACACACACACATTCAGTCCATAACAGATCAAATCCACAGGTCTATGATTTTTCACCTCTCGTCTCTTTTCTAGATTCCAGATTTTTCTCTGTTGTCTATTCCTTTTAAGGCTCTATGCTGATGAAGTTTAGAGAACCCTGAGTCATCTTAATCCTCTCCCTCACTTTAGCTGAAACATTCATTTCCCACAAATTAGAAGAAGTTGAATTAATATTATAGACTACAGAGAAACATAATACACTTTCATTCTAGCTCTGTTCGTACAAATATTCTTCCTTGTATTACACAACATTAGTCAAGCAGAGAGGCAAATCCTTTCAAGAAACATACATGGTTTTTTCACCCATAAACCATCTTGTTTGGGAAGTTCTCTGTATTGTATATTATTTTATGGGTACCCACTGCTGCCTGTCTTGTCACTTTGCTTGACAGTATGATTTTTTTAAGATAATATGAAACCTATGACATTCTAATTTTTTTTTTTTAGTAATTAGATGAAGCCAGATGAAATTATATTTGAGTGTTTATTAACTTTTTAGAAGAAAAATATGACTTTTTATCTCTTGCTTTTTAATATAGCTTGTATGACACTTGAATTTCAGAACAGGGTCCACTTTGGACATTTACTTATACCAGACATCCTGCTCCCCAATACTGTGAAAATTGTTAGCTCTGTAGTCTTTGCCTACCAAAGCTCTCTGACTTTTAAAAGGCTGCAGGGATCCGTGAAAGGAACCAGTAATAAAAAAACATTAAGTCATTTTGCCAAATGTCTTATTTGTCCTTGGGGGAATAGATTCATTCATTTGTTTTCCATTACTGTAGGCTTTGGCTTCTCTGTGAAGGCATTTTTCTTCTCATTGGATATTGCTCTGGTGCTGAGAGAATTCAGGAGCGAATAGGAGGGGTTGGGCAATGGTTCATCACCTCTCTAAACCCAGGAGAATGCATTGGCAAGCTGTGGTTCTTTTAAGGGTCTCCAGCTACATTTGCCTAAGGCTGGAGATAATTCGGTTGTACACGCTTAATCACTGTTGCTTGTGTCATTTCAGGAGGATTTCCATTTTCATTCGGTTTACAAATCCAGACTGTTTGAATTTCCCTTGGATGATCTTCCATCTGGTATGATGTTCATATAGTGACTTTTTATTTAAAAGACAACTTCGGTAATTTATTTAATGCCTTAGAACTAATCTATTTGTGGAGTATCATTAGCCCACATCTGCTTTTGACGTTTTTAGAGGGAGAGCCAAGTCACATCAAGAGGGAGAATAAAATGCAAACTGGCCTCACAGATGAGTTTGGAAAGATGTGGAGGAAAACTTTAAAAAATTTTTAAATTGAAAATAAGGCACTAAAGGAGAAACAAGATTAGAGCAAGAATTGGTCTGTGAGACAAAGTACATACAAGTTCATTCTTGGTGAAATACTGGTCTTGTAAACATAGGGATGAACTCTTAATCATTTCCCTATTTATTGTTTTCCTTGTCTCTTTTTTGCTCTAGCATTTTAAGAAAGAACTATTATAGGTTAACTTTTGTTATCATTATGTGCTATTTGTGAAATTAGTCTTTTCCTCTCATCTACACTGAAATGGACCTAGGTTAATTTTAAGAGTGTTTGTCTCCCAAGATTACTTATGATTTACTATAATAAGTTAGAAGAAAACAGGAAATAGACAAATGTCAAAAATACAAATTTTGTGAAATATTTTCAAAAGTAAGCTTATTTATTTTAGGTCGAATAAATGGACCTAGCAACCTATGTTGCTTCTAGAGTTGCTTCTAAGTCTTCACATGACAAGAAGGGCGGTGCATGCATACTTTGCCCTCCTTAGTAGAGCAGTGATTATGTAGGGTGTGTTTCTCTTTGACTGTGCTGGACTCATTTGTTTTCTCCTGAAGACAGACAGCACTCTGAATATCTTTATTCAGAAGATATCTGGATATCTGGTATGGAGATGCTTCCTCCCCTATTTAGTGAACCTTATTTAATTTAATTTAATTTAATTTAATTAATTTATTTTTTGTTTTGTTTTGTTTTGTTTTTGAGACAAAGTCTTGCTCTATCGCCCAGCCTGGAATGCAGTGGCACGACCTCAGCTCACTGCAACCTCAGCCTCCTGGGTTCAAGCAATTCTTCTGCCTCAGCCTCCCGAGTAGTTGGGACTAGAGGCATGCACCACTATGCCTGGCTAAATTTTGTATTTTTAGTAGAGACAGGATTTCACCATATTGGATAGACTGGTCTCGAACTCCTGACCTCGTGATCCACCTGCCTCGGCCTCCCAAAGTGCCAGGTTTACAGGTGTGAGCCACCGTGCCCAGCCTGATTATTTTAATTTTTAATCTCATTTTAAGCTTTGCAGCAGCCTTGTAAGATTAATGTTATTCCCGGTTTGTAGATGAAGAAACAGAGCTCAGCTAGTTTGTCTTTTCGAGGGTCCCACAGCTAGCAAGGGGTGAAGTTGAGTTTTGAATTATTACACTATGAAAATGTACTATGGTAGAGAATCACAGAGGGAAATGGAGAAATCACCAGCCTGAGAGTAATCCTAAACCAATGCTTAGAAAATCACTTAGAAGTTTACATTGTCCCTTCATCAGAAAATGAAATAAATGTTTCCTAATGTTCCTTTCTCTCTGACATAAGTTTTTAACTCCTCATCCTCCTGTAATTTCCCTAAAGAGAATGAACATTCTCTCCCCTTCTTTCCTGCTGCCAGAGGGAGAGAAGATTTAATAGAATTTACTATTTTGAAAAATTTTCAAATGGGAATATAGATGCTCTTAACCTCTCACAGACTTTTTAGATGGTTCTTTCAGTGGTCTTATAAAACTTTTTACAATCCCTATTCTGATAAGAAAATAAATCATGACTAGCTGTGTGGGAATAAAGCTATAATTTAATGGGTATTACTGGAAGCAGTCAACATTAATTAATATTTAAAGTAATAAATAAAGATTTTCCCCTAAAGACTTGATTGTAGGCTTGCTAGGATTTTTTTTTTTTTTTTTTTTGAGGAAATTGTTCAGGGTTTCTTTCCAGCAGAAACTTTGATGGTGACTTGGCAGTTTTGCTGTTATTAAAATGATTTTTTAGACATATTCTTTGAAAACTGAGGTCTGTTTCAATTAGTTTCTAGTTTTCCTCATCAGAAGTTGGCACTGTCAATTTTGAGAGAGTTTTGTCTCCCAACATTACTTATGATTTACTGTGATAAATTAAAAGAAAACAAGAAATAGACAAATAAATGTCACAACTACAATTTCTGTGAAATAGTCTCAAAAGTAAGCTTATTTATTTTAGAATGCATAAAGTTGAACTGGGTTATAGATTATCAACATCATCATCTTATTATGTTGTATGTATTTCCCAGAGATAGAAATAGAATCAGCTGTTCCCCAAACTTGTTGGACTGTGGAACGTTTCCTTTACATGGCATGCACCTGTCTCAGGACTAGTGTTTCTGAGAACATATTCTGGGAAAATCTTATTTCCTATGGATGCCTATGTACCCAGTTAAAAAAATATGCAATGAAATATAAAAGTCTTGAGTACTATTCCATAAATTTTTACATACATACACTCTTGTTGAGAGAGAGAGCATTTCTGTTACCCCAGTAACTTCCTTTGTACCCTCTGTAGTCAGTGCCTCCCACCTCTGCCGTTTCTTTTGTCTGTTGTAGAACTTTATACAGATGGAATCATGTACTATTTGCAGCTTCTTTTGCTTAGCACATGCCTATGAGGTTTATGTTGTCAAGAGTAGCAATGGTTCATTCTTTTAAATTATTGAATATATTGTGTCCTATGAATATGCCACTTGTTTTCTGCAGGGGGATGGGTTCTTGCACTGTTGCCCAGGCTGGAGTGCAATGGTGCCATCTCGGCTCACTGCAGCCTCCGCCCCCTGGGTTCAAGCAATTCTCCTGCCTCAGGCTCCCAAGTAGCTGGGGTTACAGGCGTACACTACCATGCTTGGCTAATTTTTGTATTTTTAGTAGAGACAGGGTTTTACCATGTTGGTTAGGCTGGTCTCAAATTCCTGACCTTGGGTGATCCACCCGCCTTGGCCTCCCAAAGTGCTGGGATTACTGGCATGAGCCACCACGCCTGGCCTATACCACAATTTTTAATCTATTGGTTGATGGACATTTGGGTTGTTTCTGGTTTTTGACTATTATGAGAAAAGCAACTATGCACGTTCTTGTACAAGTCTTTTCTATGGGCACATACTTTAATTTCTTCGGTAAACACCAAGGAATACATTTGCTGGGCCGTAGGGTAGGTACGTGTTTAACTGTGTTGAAAGTGTCCTCAAACTTTAGCATGCATCAGAATCATCTGGAGGACCGGTAACCACAGATTGCTGGCCCTATTTTGAGAGTTTTAAATCAGTATATCTTGGGTGGGTTTGGAGAATTTGCATCCAATACTTCCCAGGTGATGCTAATGCTGCTGGTGCTGGAATCACACTTTGAGAACCACCGTTTTATGAGGAATTGCTGAAACCGTTTTCCAAAGTGGGTACACAAAGTGATATACTTGCGTCAGCACTCTGAGAGTTTTAATTGTTCCACATCTTGACCAACATCTGCTCTGTTATTCTTTAATTTTAGCTGTTCTAGTGTATTTGGTGCTATCTCACTTTGGTTTAAATTTGAATTTTTCTTGTGATTAATGATGTGTAGGATATACACTTATTCGCCACTAATCAGAATTTCTGTCTTTTTGTTGTTAAGTTGTAGGAGTACTTACATATTCTAGATAGAAGGCCTTTGCCAAATATGGCTTATGAATATCTTTTCCCCAGTCTTTGGTTTGCTCATTTACTTACTTAATGGCATCTTGTGATGAACAGATGTTTTAAATTTTGTGAAGTTTAACATTAGTTTTTATCATTATTGCTTTCTCCATGCTAAGTAATTTTTGCTAGCTCCCGATATATTGAAGATATTCTCTAGTGTTTTCTTCTAAAAACTCTATAGTTTTATTTTTTATGTTTAGATCTAGGATCCTCTTCAAATTACATTTTGTGCACGGTGAAAAGTAGGGGTTAAGTTTTATTTTATTATTTTTTATGTGAATACACAATTATTCTAATACCATTTGTTGAAAAGAGTTTCCTTTCCTTTAATCAATGAATTGTTTTGATGTCTTTGTCAAAATGTATTAATATGAGTCAATTTCGGCCGGGCGTGGTGGCTCAAGCCTGTAATCCCAGCACTTTGGGAGGCCGAGACGGGCGGATCACGAGGTCAGGAGATCGAGACCATCCTGGCTAACCCAGTGAAACCCTGTCTCTACAAAAAAATACAAAAAACTAGCCGGGCGAGGTGGCGGGCGCCTGTAGTCCCAGCTACTCGGGAGGCTGAGGCAGGAGAATGGCGTAAACCCGGGAGGCGGAGCTTGCAGTGAGCTGAGACCGCGCCACTACACCCCAGCCTGGGCGAAAGAGCAAAACCCTCCCTCAAAAAAAAAAAAAAAGAGTCAATTTCTTGACTCTTACTTTATTTGGCTACACTTATCATACTTTGTTTTGCTTACTGTGGCTTTATATAAGTTTTGAAATCAAATAACATAAATCCTCCAATTCTGTTTTTTCCCCCCAAAATTTTGGCTATTCTGGGCTCTTTATATTTCCCTACAAATTTTAGAAACTACTTGTCAATTTCTGTAAATTCTGGGATTTTTATTGGAATTGTATTAAAAGTATGGATTAATGGGGAAAAACAGCATATTATTAGTAGTGAGTCTAAAATTTCTTTCAGTATTTGGTCATTTTTAGTGTAGATGTTGTATTAGTTATTATCTATTGCTTATCTATTGTATTATCTATTGCTGTGTAACAAATTACTCTAAAGCCTAGTGGCTTTAATAAACAAACATTATTATCTCATAATTTCTGAGAATCAGGAACCTGGGTGTGGTTTAGCTGGGTGCCTCTGGCCCACGGTGTCATGAGTTTGTAGCGTAACTGTCAGCTGGGACTCCAGTTTCATTTGAAGGCTCAGCTGGGGAGGATTCGCTTCTGAGCTCACTCATATGATTGTTGTGAGGCCTTAGTACCTCACCACATGGGCCTCTCCACAGGGCTGCCCCCCACCAACCTGGTAGCTAACTTGTTCTAGGAGAGAGCGAGAGACCAAGAGAAGAGAGAGAATGAGACACAATGCCTAAGATGGAAGCTACAGTATTTTTGTTAACCTGATCTCAAAAGCAACATCTGATCACTTTTACTGTATAGTATTTATTAGAAATGAGTCACAGGGTCCAGCCTTCTCTCAAGGGAATGAGATTATACAGTGGCATTGTATTAGTTATCTATTGCTGAGGAATACATTTTTATTATGTACAGAAAAATTAGAAAGTAGCTGAGTAATAAATTACCACAAAATGCACCTCTTAAGACAATACACACTTATTATCTCATAGTTTCTGTGGATCAGGAGTCCAAGAATGGCTTAGATGGGTTCTCCGCTTCAAAGGCCCTCACAGGCTGCAGTGAAGGTGTTTTCTAGGACTTCGTCTCATCTCAAGGCTCAACTGTGGAAGGATATGCAGTGGTTGTTGGCAGAATTCAGTTCTTTTTTGCCTCTTAGACCAAGGGCCTTGGTTTCTTGCTGGCTTTGGCTGATGGTTACTCTTTTTCTCACATGGGCCTCTCCATAGGGCAGCTCACAACACTGGTGCTCGTGTAATGAAAGCCGGTAAGGAAGAGAGTCTCTAGCAAGATGAGTTACAATCTTACATAATGTTATCTGGAGAAATGACCTTTGCTGTATTCCATTGGTTGGAAGCAAGTTACAGGTTTTACTTACACTTAGAGAGAGGGTATTACACAAGGGCGTGAGTACCAGGAGGTGGAGACTATTAGAGGTCATCTTAAAGTCTGTCAAATTCTTCTCTTTGGCCCCCAGTGATTCTTGTCTCTTTTACCTACAAAATACATTCTCTTCCTCCCTAGGTCTCTAAGAGTTTCATCCTGTTATAGCATCTGCTCTAAGTCTAGAATCTCATTATCTAAATCAGGTCCAGGTGTGGATGAGGGTCTTTGGATGTAATTTCTCTTAATCTTTCTGTATGTAAAACTAAAGAGACAAGTTATCTGCCCTATGTACTCCCAGGATCCAGTAATGGGCCAGCTATAGACATTCGCTTACAAAAGAGGGAACATTTGAGAAACAAGAAAGACACCGACATTGCAGTTCTGAAATTCTGCTGGGCAAATGTTGACCCTTTTTGATTGGGTTTCAAGGCCTGGAAAGAATTCTCCATGACTCTTGGCTCTATGTTCTCAGCTCTTGATTCTGCCATCCTTCCTTTTCTATGAAAGGTAGTACATATTTGCAGCTAAGTAGTTTTATCAGTCTGCTATTCTAGTTTGCTAAGAGTTTTTATCCAGAATAGGTGTTGAATTTTGTCAAATGCTTTTCTATGTCTATTGAGATGATCATTCTCCTTTAATCTGTTAATGTGATGAATTGTATAAATTGATGTTTTGAATATGAAACTAATTTGCATTCTCAAATGGGCCCCAGTTGGTTATGGTGGATTATGTTTTTGTGTATTACTGGGTTTGATTTGCCTATGTTTTGTTAAACATTTTTAATGTATAGGTTCAGAAAGCATATTGGACTCTAGTTTTCTTTTCTGGTTTTAGTACCAGGGTTTTGCTGGTCTTACAAGATGTGTTAGGAAAAGTTTCCGACTCTTTTTTTTTTAAGTTTGTGTAAAAGTGGTATTATTTCTTCCTTTAATGTTTGGTAGAATTCATCAGTGAAGTCATCTGACCTTACGGTTTTCTTGGAGAGTTTAATTAAGAATTAAAGTTATTTAATAGATACAAGATTATTCAGATTATCTACATATACACATGTTCAAGGAATTTCATCTAAATTAACAAATTTATTGGCACAAAGCTCTTAATAATATCCTCATATTATCTTTTTAATATCTATAGAATCTGTAGTGATTTGCTTTCTTTATTGATCAAGTCCTGCTGATCAATTTTATTGATTTTTGTTTTTAAGTTTTTAGTCTCACTTTTTTCTATTTGATTTGTGTTTAATTTGCTCTTATTTTTCTGGGCTGTTAAGGTGGAAGGTTAGATCATAATTTAAACTTTTTTTTCTTTTCTAACATAACCCCTTAAAGCTATGCATTTCCCTTCAAGCACTAAATGCCTTACCTGCATCCCTCGTATTTTGACTTGTCATATTTTTACTTTAGGTCAAAACATTTTCTAAATTACCAGGTGATTTCTTCGTTGTCCAATGGGTTATTTAGAAATGTAGAGCTTAGTATAGAAATACTTGGTTATTTTGTTCCAAGCACCTTTTTATTATACATTTTTAATTTAATAGAATTGCAATAAGAGAAAATACTCTGTGTCATTTCATTTTCTTTAAATAAAATTTATTGGGAATTGCTTTATGATCTATGATATTGCCTGTCTTGGTGAATGTTTCATGTGTTCTTGAAAAGGATATGTATTCTTCAATTATTGGGTAAAGTGTTAAAAATGCCAATTTAGTTAAATTGGTTAATAGTGTAAAGTCTTCTGTGTCCATATGATTCTGTTTGCTTTTTTTTTTTCTTTCAATTACTGAGGGAGGATTGTTGAAATCCTTAACTGTAACTTTGAATTTGTCTATTTCTTCTTTCAGGTCTGTCACTTTTTGCTTTATGTATTTTGAAACTCTGTTATTAGGTGAATAAACATTTAGGAGCATTGTGTCTTTTTGATGAATCAACCCATTTATAATTAGGAAATAGTTTCCTTTCTCCCAGATACTTATTGTCCTGAAGTTACATTGTCTGATATTAATATTTCCTTCACAGTTCTCTTGTGATTAATGTTTGTAAGGTGTATCCTCTTCCATACTTTAAATTTAAAGTGCCCCTCTTCTAAACAGCATGTAGTTAAGTCTTGCATTAAAAAAAAAATCCAGTCTCGTAATCTTTGCCTTTTAGGTGCAGCGTTTAGTCTATTTACATTTAATTAATTATTGATATGAGATGGGTTACTTTTGTAATCTTGTTTTTCTGTTTTTCCTATTAGTTTTTTTTTTTTTAAATTATAAAAGAGAACTTATTCCCTTTCTCAGCAAATCCCTTGTATGCCCAGGCCATAGCACTCTGAAAAACGACATGATGGGAGAATATTTGAACAAGAAATAAAGAGAGAATATTAATTTCCCTACCCTGATTTTATTATTCAGCTTCTTGGTCACAGATTTCTCTGACCATTATTATCTCTCCTTTATGAACAGTATCCAAAAATAATGATAATAGTTCACCTTGAGTGTTTTATAGCATTATTCCTATAATAAGCCCCTTCAGATTGTTCAATCATCAAAGTTTTAGGAAATCTGTACCCTAGGGAAAGATTGCAACTTTCCTTTCACTTTGTAGAAAAATCCTCCCTTATAAATAACCTAATCTTATATTCAGAGATGAATCTATGTGCATAAACAGTTGATGTATGATTTTCACATCTGCTACCAAGAGCAGATAAAGCCTGAGATTAATTTGGTTATGGGCAAAGAAGAATGTAAATTAATTGGAAAAAATTAACTCAAAACTTTGGTGTCCTATGACAATTTCTTAATAAATTATGAACTCAGAAATGTGTGATTATTTTTTCTACTTCTCATTGCTCGTCTTTTATATTTTGCTGCCTCGAGAAGGTTAGTAATGGAAATGAAAGTTGAGTTGGCTGTTTAGAAGATTCCTAGTAAATAACGTAATGATATTTATAGGAGAAATATGAAAAGTTTTTTGAAGTAAATTAGAACAGAAATAATGTTCTATATTTTGCAAATTATATTCATCCTTTAAATGTTTATTTAGTATTAATATAGTAAATTAATGTTTAGTATTGACATACTAAATGTTTTGTGTGATCATTAAGTATAGCATTATATATTATAAAATTCATAAGAAAGAAGGGCAGGTAAAACTTTGCCCTATATTGAAGAAATCTGACAAATTCACTAAGTTAAATTAAATTTAATTTCCTTTTAGAATTTCAACAAGTAAACATTACTCCACCAAAATTTATTTTGAAGCCAAGACCAAAAAGGAGTAAACGGCAGGTATGTATTCACAGTGGTATGTCGTGTTATTTTAAAACAATTGTCAACTGCCAATCATTTTAATCTACGGTAAGTCTGTGTGAGAGGGTGAGTATTAGTTTGGGAATTTGTCAGGATATGGTAAACCGTAAGGGTGACAGATCTGAAGAAGCAGCAGAAAGGGGAACCATGTTATTTCACAGATGCAAAAAGGATTCAAGACAGTGGTAATAATATGTTTCTTCATCATATTATGGGTTATGAGGCTCCTGCTTGTGGCATCTCAGGTTCTTTCTACAATAGGCTTCTTTCCTTGCCCAGATATGTACCACATCGTGGAATCCACTTGTATGGTTTATATCCTTGTATTTATTACCTTGACTATAACCCCTTAGGAATGAATCAATCCAGTTGTGAAGCCACAAAATGCTTTTGTCTCACTTGAGCAATCTTTGGAGTCCAGGATATAAAATTAGGTTATGGGCTTTATGATTGTTCCACTGGATATTGGACTGGGTAATAATAACTGTTGATATGGTGCTTTAAACCAAATGAAGTCGGTACTATTATTCCCCTTTCACTGAAAGAAAAATGATGACTCTGACATGAGAAAATGACTTGCTCAAATCACAGAGCTGGCAAGTAGTTTAGAAAAGTTAAGAGTTGTGGCCATCAGAATCAAGATGTCACCACTGTGGTGATGTGGGCAGGGGAGTGGCCATTAAAAACACAAGATGAAGGAAATAGATCTCTAGTAAGATCAAGAAGTTGAAGGAATCAGGTGTCTTCTTTTTATTACCTTGAAATAAAATACATGTTTATAGACAGATTTTTATTGTGAATAATTATTGCTAAATCTTATTGAATACTATTGAATACGTACCTTGTAAAATCCTTATAATAGGGTCTATTATAAGAATTTTAACTATATTAACACATGTAACCCTCAAAAACCTTAAGAGGAAGGTGTTATCACAGGTTAAGTATACCTTTTCCAAAATGCTTGGGACCAGAAGTGTTGCAGATTTTGATTTGTATGTGTGTCTGTGTGTGTGTGTGTGTGTGTGTGTGTGGCTGAGGGGAGAGTAGGGGTGGATTTCAGAATATTTACATGATACTTAGTGGTTCAGCATCCCTAATTCAAAAATTAGAAATCTGAAGTGCTCCAGTGAGCATTTCTTTTGAGTGTCATATTGGTGCTCAGAAAGTTTTTCATTTTGGAGCATTTGGAGTTTTGGATTTTTAGATGAGAGATATTCAACCTATAATATCCTCATTTTACTGATGAGGACATTGAACGTAAGAGAATCAAGAAACTTGCCCAAAGTCACATAGGGTGACTCTGGTGGAGTTGGGATTCTGACCTAGGAAGTCTGGTCTCAGAGAGGTCCTTATAACCACATATACGCCATATATTGCCTCTCAGACCCATGTGTTCCGTGAATTACTACTACGACCTTTATAAATGTTGTGAATGTTTATATATGTATATACACACACACGTATACACACATATAAACTCATATATATGATTATATATAAACTCATATATAAACATATATATATATATATTTATATGAATAGGTAGAGACATATTTATCTTGAGGCCCAGTTAGATAAAATGATTACCATCAGGATTTAATGTGAAACTATTGTTTTTGAATTATAGACTGAAAGAATAGGACAATATTCTAGAAAGCTAGCTGTAATAGATAAGACTGACTGGGAGTTCTCAAAGCTATTTTAACAAAGACCCCATGTCATTTGGGGATCCTCTGAACCATCCTAGATGAAGGCACGTGACTCACTCCCAGTTTGGAGATTAAATAATAAAAGTGCCAATCACTCCAGTCCCTGTACCCTCTCAGAGATCTTCAGAGGACCCAAAAGAATGCTCTTCATATGTTACTATTTTCAAGATAGACTGTTAAATAAAATTGCTAGATGCAAAAAGGAGTGAAATAAACAGAAGTACAAAATAAAGGATATATTCACATTTAGTTTTATATGCATAAATATTTTTGGAAGGAACCAGTAACTTGCTGTATCCATTGTGGGGGAAGGACTAGGAACTGAGTAGGTGGAGAATAGAGGTGAGAGGAAGACATTCATCTTCTGTTCTTTTGTACTTCTTAAATTTTCTGAGCCATGTTAATTTATTACCAACTCAGAAACTAAACAAATTGATGAAAAATTTTTTTAATGCTGAAGGAATAAAAAGGGAAGATTTTGTTTTGTCAGTTTCTTCCATATTTTTTAGGTTTTCACAGCCGAGTTTAGAGGGCTGAATTAGGTGCTGTTTCCTTTCCTGTGTTACAGCTTCGTCGATATCCTCGTAATGTAGAAGAAGAAACCAAATACATTGAACTGATGATTGTGAATGATCACCTTATGGTAGGATTTGCTGTTGTTTTTAAGCCTGTTCGTGCCTAGGGTAAAACTGGTGAGTGTAAAAATATGTTTAGAAATAACAAGAAGCCCATCAAGCTGTAACCTGGAGAAGGTATTTGTATAATCAAATATATTTGTTAACTAGCAACAACCTGCAATTAGGAAATATTCATAGGTGGAAATAACTAGCAGTAATTTTTGAGTTTTCAAAAATACTTTGTAACTCAATATCAACTTTTGAATTTGCTTGGTTAGTAGAGGTGCTAATATTTGAATCTCCACTTACTAAAATGACAAGGTTTAAAAAAATGGAAATTCCATTTTATATTGAAAAAGTGAGGCACCAATTATGTGACATTTTAGTTTGCAAGGTACAACTTTATCTTAATAAAAGAAAAGCAATTTTTCTATTTTGGTGTTACTGTGCAGAAATCATATGCAAATGCTTACATAGCTAACCAGTGAAGATTCTTAGGATAAGAACTTGACAAAACTTTCATGTTGTTGGATCAAATTATTTTGACCCATAGTGTTTATATTCAGTTAATGGGCATATTGCAGGCAGTATGACTACATTCATAGCACAGCAATGAGTTATAATGCTAATTGTTCCATGTAACCAAAGTTTTAAACTAAAAATGTTTAATGATGCATATTGCTGAATTTTACTTAAGTTCAGGTACAAGTGCATTTTACTTTGACCTGCTTATTTGAGGAAAAGATTATCATTTATTTATATATGATTAAATACATAATTTAGATCTTAATTATTACAGTTGCTAATAATAATAATCACAACATAATCAAGATTGAGTGCTGCTTCCTTCTTCAAGCTAGGTCTAAGTTTTATCTTTCCACCTATTTGAATCCAGTGAATGTTACTGTTCCCCAGGACTTTTATAAAATAAGTTATAACAACATATATTTTGAGCATTTTAGATAGTCACAAATTTAGATATCCATAGACATCTGTAGACATATAATATAAGTGAAATGAACCAGGTATAAGACAGCATAGGTGGGTGAGGCCTGTGGTGAAAAGAATGGTGTGTGGCCTGTCTAAGGGAAGCAACTGCCTCTCAGTGTTTGCCAGTTATTACCAGGTGGGAATGCTAATTTTAACTGAAGCCAGAAATTGGATTTTACATGATATTTCCTGATTTTTAAAACACATTTAAGACTAAACAAAGATCTATGTGATCCACATCTGCCCTGTATGCCACCTTGTTATGACCTTTCTCTTAGAGCTTTCTTCTTCCTGAATAAGTCTTATAGAACTTTTCGATTTGTATGCTTTTAGCAGTGTTCACATCCACTTTACTGTCTATACCCCTACTTAGATTTGTATGTCTTGCAATTCATAGACAACTTTCATATGTTTTATCATTTTGAATAACAATGCCGATAAAAATAAATCTATGAAATGGATGGATTGGACATTTTTTACTTCATCTCCCAGATGAATAAATTGAGGCCTCAATCCTTTAAGAGCCTTGTCTCAGGCAACATAGCAGATAAAGAACTTGATCTCAACTGACTCTGACATTTTTTTACAGAAAGCACATTTTTACAGAAAAGATTTTTTTTTTTTTTACATTTGTAGGGATCTTTCAATTGCACCATGTTTTCTCTGATGAGATGGTTGTTTTCTGATCACTTTGGAAGACCTTCACTTTTTTTCTTTTGCTTTCAGTTTAAAAAACATCGGCTTTCCGTTGTACATACCAATACCTATGCGAAGTCTGTGGTGAACATGGCAGACATAGTAAGTATCAACCCAGTCCATTATTGCCCTAGAAGAATCTTATTTCCTAATTGCTAATAGAATGGATAATATGATTCTTATAGTTTCACTGCTCTATGTTGCACTTCAACCAAGGTGTCTAGTAAGTCCCGGGTGACCTTGCAATAGACTTTATTGACTTTGATGTCTGGCTGGGAAGAGGAATTGGTCGAAGTTGTCCATAGATATGCCTGAAATTCCATCCTGTGTTTTTCACACTGTAAAAACAGAGGTTGTGTCATACCCCTAACAAAGATATTCACAGTGACTTATAATGATGGAGAAGCAGTACAACAGTTGTACCTTTTTCAAGAGTGCCTGGTGCTGTGGCAGTGATGCAACTAAATAATTCCACTATACCTCCATACTTCCCAAATCTTCCCTTGATGAGGCTGTGCTAGTACCTTCTTCACAAGTCTAATCAGAGCCAGTCAGGTTGTATATAAATTATTTCTTTGGAGAGTCTTCATTGCTCCATTTTTGGCTAAGGGAACTCAAGCATGCATGAATTCTTTTTCCAGGATACCAGTAAACAGATTTAGGTGGAACCTTGAATAGGGTGCAAGTATTCGTCAAAAGGGACCTTTTGTTTCCAAAAAGTGCTCTGTTCTTTGGGTATTAGTCAACAATTTCAGTCTCAGTTACTCAAGGGAAATGCACGTAAATTAGAAAGTTATCTCGCTTTAACTAAAACTCAAAGAATTTTCCATGAAAGGAGTTTTGTAGTCCTGTTCATAAACTGTTTGATTTTACCACATGTACAGCTGATGTGTTCATTTTATTAATATACTAGATATATAAAGACCAACTTAAGACCAGGATAGTATTGGTTGCTATGGAAACCTGGGCGACTGACAACAAGTTTGCCATATCTGAAAATCCATTGATCACCCTACGTGAGTTTATGAAATACAGGAGGGATTTTATCAAAGAGAAAAGTGATGCAGTACACCTTTTTTCGTACGTAACTTCTGTAATGATGTATTACTTTTTCTGATTTCATGTTAAATGCTTTATTGTGACTGAAATGTATCCTTTCTGCTACATTACACAATTAGGATTTGACATGGCAGATGGCAGATAGATTTGGAAAAAGTTTTAAAGTATAGATTGTTTAAAATTGCCATGAAAGTGTAAGTTTTAATTTTGAGTTATTTTATTACTTAATATTTATTTAATTTTTCAAGATGTTTAAATAGAGCATTTACTGAGTAAAAATACTGCTAATATATATAGTATTCTTAACTGCAGATAAATTATATTCTTTAAAGTTACTGTCTTTTAAATGTTAATGTTTTCTCTGTTTTTGGTTCTGAGATGAGAGCTTAGTATTTCTGGAATTTATTTTTAATTTTTTCTCACTCTTATGTTCTTTTTTTGATAGCATGCATATTTGACGTAATAGCAAATTATATATAGTAGAATTTTAAAAATCTATCATCTAAAGTCAGAACTGTTGAAGAAAGTTATAAAAGGAAGAAAAGATGTATTTTGGGGTAACTTTATATATAATTTCAAATTTAGAGAAAAGTTGCAAGAATACTACAAGGAAATTGCATATGCCCTCTATTCGGATTCATCAGTTATTCACATTTTCCTCCATTTGTTTCATAATTTTCTTCCATTCTCCCTCCCTTCCTTCCATTCATCCATCCTTCAGTTTTTTTGTTTGTTTTTGTTTTTTTTTCCTGAACCTTTTGAAAATAAGTTGAAGACACTTACTGGGGATTTGTTATTAAATAGTATATATTCTCTAAGAGTAAAAAGACATTCTCTTATATAACCACAGTAAATTATTGAAACTGGAAAATTTAACGTAAACAATACTTTTATGTAATCCATGGTCTATATTCAAATTTCACCAATTACCTCAATAATGTCTTTTATAGCTAATTTTCTCCATCCAAATCCAATCCAGGATCACACATTGCATTTAATCATCATGTCTCTTTAGTCTCCTTTAATCTGAAAGATTACCTCAGCTTTCTTTTGTCTATTTTGAGTTTAATACTTTTGGAGAGTATAGGCCAATTATTTTATTGACTGTTCCTCATGGGAATGCCTGATGTTAAGTTATGTATTTTTGGCAGAAATACCAGAGAAGTGATTTTGTGTCTTTTTCAGAGTACATCATATCAACCAATTATTTTTTAATAGATATACTTCAATTTAAGATATTTATTAATCTTGTGAGAAAACATCCCTTATAAACCTTTTTCTTTGGTTACATGTATAAACAATTTTCACATTCTTCCCTTGCAACATGAGTATATTGTATAGAAATCTTATGTATATTGAGAAAATAAATGTGGTAAACTAATAATGAGAGGTGTTATGATGTTTGAACTGTGAACAGTAAGCATTTTTCATTTCCTTTTCTAAAAGGGGAAGTCAATTTGAGAGTAGCCGGAGCGGGGCAGCTTATATTGGTGGGATTTGCTCGTTGCTGAAAGGAGGAGGCGTGAATGAAGTAGGTGTGAACATCTGTACAATACAAAGTGGTATGATGGCTGAAAATGTTTTCCTCATACTTAAGAGAGAATTTCTCAGTATTCGCATACTCCAGATGTTAGATTGCTACATTACAAATCAATATGGCAGCCTGTCACAATGGCTTATTCCTGTAATTCCAGCACTTTGGGAGGCTGAGGTGGACAGATTGCTTGAGACGAGAAGTTTGAGACAAACCTGGGTAACATGACAAAACCTCATCTTTATCAAAAATACAAAAATAGTAGCATGTACCTGTAGCCCCAGCTACTGGGGAGGCTGAAGTGGGAGGATGGCTTGAGCCTGGGAGGCAGAGGTTGTATTGGGCCCAAATTGCACCACTGCACTCCAGCCTGGGCAACAGAGTGAGACCCTGTCTCTAAATAAGTAAGTAAATAAATTAATTAATTAATAAAATAAAATTAAATAAAAAATTAAATAAAAAAACTAATATGGTTACTATAAGTGACCAGAGAACAGACTGGGGAAATAATGGGAGATAATATGTGATGATTATTATATATTCATGTTATACTTGGAATAATTTCCAGATTAAGCTACTTACAGATTAAATTGAGAGAATCTTTACCTTTACCTTCATTGAAAATAAGACCCTGTTATTCACTTTGAATGATTTTCCAGGGAATTGAATAATTCCCTGAAGCATCAGGTTGTCACCTAACAACCCAACTGGATATTTTTTCCTTAGTATTTAACAGATTTGGAGATAAGAAAAATAGAGTAGGTTTTCCAAAGGGTTTCTCTTACTCCTAAGGCACTAAACCTATTAGAGATGATCGAAAAGAAAATACTTGTATCTTTAAGAGGCTACAAATTGAAAAATATATCCTCAGTTCTTCAGTTTCTATTGCCCAAAGATTGTCACTACCTCCTGTTACTCATTTCATTTGTTTTCTGAAGCCCCATTCTATTCCACTTGAGGGGAATTTGAGGATTACAAGTGGACACAAAGATGAACAAGTTCTAAAAAAAATTACCGATTTAATTTTATTTTGTATTATCCAAAAGACTGATTTAATTATATACCAATATTGAATTTTTCAAGAATGTCACTGGTGAAATTTGGACTCAGATATACATTTCCAAAACCCAAAAGCTGTGATTATTTCCTGACTTCTAGTATTCCCTGTAAGACCTAATCAAACATGGATTTTTGTTTCTTACCACTTTTTCCCAAATGCATATTCAGTGCTGGCTACAGTCTGTTTAGCCTCTGCTAAAGAAATTACTTAGAAATTACTTATTTTCAGCGATATTGTGACATTTTTCTCTGGTTCTTTTTCAGTGACAAGTTGGATTTATATATATTTTATTTTTGTTTTTGTTTTTCAGTTTGGGAAAACTGATTTAATGGCTGTTACACTTGCCCAGTCATTAGCCCATAATATTGGTATTATCTCAGACAAAAGAAAGTTAGCAAGCGGTAAGTTTTAGTGCATGTGTGGTTAGTTGTATTTAAAATAGACTATTTGTAAAATATTTTGGAGCGTAAAATTTTTTGATTTAGTTGCTTGATGAAAAGAATTTGAATGGTAGTAAAAGATAAAAAGAATTTGAATGGTAGTAAAAGAATGGTAGTAAAAGATAAAAGATAAACAGCACAAACTGTTGTTTTCCAAAGTAATACAAATAAATATTTACATTATAGGTGGAAATTTCTATGACTATAGTGAACTTTAAAGCCATGTGATAATAAATTCAAGCTGAATTTAACCTTATAAGGGAAAAAATAAGCCCAGTTTGTTCATCATAAATGTTTAGTAGAGAATTCTAGGCATATAGGTTTCAGACATACTGTTTTTTTATGTTTTATTTAAAACATCTCTGAACGTGGCCACAGAGGTAGAATTTCCCTGTCAGGATCAGAACTGATAAAAAGCTTAGTTAATAAATGGACCTAGTAAAATATGCTAGGTTTGGTATCTATGAAGAATGTCTTTTCTCAAGTAGGTAAAGTCACTTTACCCTGAATGGTCAAATACTGTGTATTTACCATTAACATTTGATGATTTCCATTTTTATTTTAGTAACAAACATTGTAAATATTTTTATAATCTGGAATCGCAGCACTTTGGGAGGCTGAAGCAGGTGGATCACCTGAGGTTAGGAGTTTGAGACCAGCCTTGCCAACATGGTGAAACCCCATCTCTACTAAAAATACCAAAATTAGCCAGGTGTGGTGACAGGCTCTTGTAGTACCAGCTACTCAGGAGACTGAGGTAAGAGAATCACTTGAACCCAGGAGGCGGAGGTTGCAGTGAGCCAAGATTGTGCCATTACACTTCAGCCTGGGCCACAGAGCGAGACTCTATCTCAAAAAAAAAAAAAAAAAAAAGCTATTACCATTTATAGAGTACTTATTATATGCCAGATGATTGAATGCTGGTATTACTTCCATTTAGATACTCATTTAATTCTCCAGATAATTCTACAGGGCACCCATTTTTAGCCCCATTTTATAGGTGAAGTGACTAGATCTTACAAGAATAATGTCTCTAAGATTACACATATATCAAATGGCAAACTCAGGTTTTGAACCCTAATATTTCCTGATTCTGAAGCCCTTCTGCTTACCCAATAATTTTCCCCTGCATTCTACCAGAAACCTTGGTGTGTGCAGAGACTTTCAAAAATGGTCAAGGAATTATGATAGTTCTCATAAAGGCCTGTGAAACTGAGATCCTTTAATAATGCCATAAAGTTTTTCATTCTTCCATTGGTATTTGATTAAATAGTTTAAATATGGCCATTAGTTAAAATACAATGGTTTTTTTGGCAAAAATTATATAATCTTGATAGCGTCAAAGTATATTTTTGTTGTATATTACATAAAAAACTATTGTAAGATGAATTAGAAAGAAGCTATTACTTTTTAAAAGGTATTTTAAGGAATAAAATGGAGATAATGAATTTAAAACAGAAACTGCTTTAGTGCAACTGTGTTCACTTTATAACAAGGCATGTGTGTTAATTTTCTCTTAGGTGAATGTAAATGCGAGGACACGTGGTCCGGGTGCATAATGGGAGACACCGGGTGAGCCATTTGTATTTGAAAATAGCTCAGTCTTACATTCCCTGCTGTGCTGTTGTCTTCTGAGGAATATGACACTCAATAACTTAGTGCATGGAATCTAGCATTTATAAGAAATCAGAAATAACTATTCTTAATGGTTCTGTGTATAAAATATTTTTGCAAAATAACCTCTTATTTATAAAAACAATTGATGTCGATTAAGTTGGTAGACATCAGATATTTTTTTTTTTCTTTAGCCTTAAATCTAGGCTATAAATGTAAGAAATGAGGGACAACTTTGTTTTTGATGGCTTGCCTGCTAATTCCTTTTCCTTTCATTTCCTTCAATTCTAATTAAATGGTTTATAAACAGTACTGTGCTGGTAAGTTAACTCTTGAAAACAAAAATTAGAAAACAGCCTGGATTTGTAGATTTCTCACTTTTCTGAGGTGTAAATATTCCCACAATGGCTGACTTCAAGCTGTCACTGATGGCTTCATAATGTGGTATCACTGAAAAGGGAGTTGGGAAGAGAAATGTACAGTCTGCTCTCCTGAGAAAGATTTTCATTGTATACTGTCCTCCCCTTCACAAGCTCAGTCATCAATGCTTGTCTTTTATTCTTGTAAGTAAATTTTACAGTTATCCCTTTTATTCCAAGCTTATCATTACTGCCCTAGTTTAAACTTTGGCCATCTTTTGCTGTTATTATTTTAATAACATTTCAAATATTGAGTATAAATTGGGTTCAGTGCTTGGGTGATGGGTCCACCAAAATCTCACAAATCACCACTAAAGAACTTACTCTTGTAACCAAATACCACCTGTTCACCAGAAAACCTATGGAAATAAAAAAAGTTGGAATGCTACTAAAATAATAATAGCAAAAAATGGTAAACGTTTAAACTAGGGCAATAATGATACGTTTGGAATCATCATCATTAAAAATGTATGAAGAATAAAACAGTGGACATTTGTACACCCGTTATCCAGCTTTTAAAAAGTAAAATACTGCATTTGTGGTTAAATCTCCCTTATGTCCTCCATTATTAATCCCCAACCCCAGCCAAGGTCACCACCATCTGAGTTTGGTTCCTATCATTCTCAGGTCATTCTTTATACTCCTACTGTTTAGTATGTATGTGTGTTGGAGTAAAACATAGCATTTGGTTTGCATGTTTTCAGTTTATGTGAAATACATCATGCTGTATGTATTCTTCTGTGACTTGCTGTTTTTTTTTTTTAATCAACATGATGTTTGTGAGATTTAGCCATCCTGTTAGTATACAACTCTTGTTCATTAAATGCCATTGTCCTGTTCAGAAATTTTGTGAGTCTCTGATGTCTAAAGAATGTGGTTCAAAATCTTAGCTTCATTATTTAGATGCCCATAATCTTTCCTCATTCTCATCTGCAATCTCCTTTTCCCCTACTATTCATGATTGGTTTGCTTACCATAATTGTACAGGAGTTTCTAGCTTTTTCGATTTGCTAATCATAATACTACATAGATTTTCAGCTTCTTAAATACTTGCTCACCGTAATTGTACATTAATTACCAACTTCATTTGATTTCCTCAATATATTCTCTTCATCTGGAATGCCTTTCCCTTTTTCCTCTATCTAACCACATTTCTAACCATCTGAGATTTGTTATAATTTTAACCCCTGCATTATAATTTAATCATGTGTACTTATGCTGCCTTTCACAAATTAGTTATCAATTTTTGAGAGATTGCTTATTATGTTAACACATATTTCAGACCTCACACCATAATCCTTTGTACAAACTTGATTTTCAACAAATATTTCTTGATTGTATTTGAATTTTGAACGCGCAGGTTATGTATAACAAGGAAAATAAATGATGGAGGGAATATATATGCAAACATGTGTTTAAAATATTTTTCTGGTCGGATGCGGTGGCTCATGGCTGTAATCCCAGCACTTTGAGAGACTGAGGCAGGCAGATCACTTGAGCCCAGGAGTTTGAGACCAGCCTAAGCAACATGGTGAAACCCCATCTCTACAAAAAATACAAAAATTAACCAGGCGTGGTGGCACACACCTGTAGTCCCAGCAACTTGGGAGGCTGAGGTGGGAGGATCACCTGATTCTGGGGAGGTTGAGGCTGCAGTGAGCCATGATTGTGCCACTGAATGCCAGCATGGGTGACAGAGTGAGACCCTGTCTTAAATAATAATAATAATATTAATAACAATAATAAAGTAAAATATTTCTCCAAAAATCTTTGGACTTTTTGCTTAGTAATGAGAGGAAATGATAAAAGTTCTATAGATGCAGTTTTAACAATTAATTTCATACTAGAGATTGTCTTTTAAATCCTACGTAGTATATTTGATTATCCTGATTATTAAAATGTTTAATAGATAATCTGCATAGCATTAAGCATAATATACAGTGAAGTCAAATGGCTACCTTCAGATACATATGGCTGTGTACACTGGAATTCTTACATTAAAGAGATGCAAGTAAGAGAAAAGCCGTTTGTATAAAACTATGGGATATGATGCAATAATTTGATTATGCCAAATATCACCAAGCAGCAGTAATTATGGACATTTATTCCCATGGGTACATTCCCTACCATTTCTACTTTCTGAAGTTCTGTACAGCTAAATATTAGAAAGCAGGGTTGAAATGAATACCTTCAGTCCTATTTAAAGGTACAAAAATTAAAATGTGAAGAATGCACTGAATACAATAGCTATATTATTCTGTGAAACAGAAGTTGTGGGGGCAGAGGCAGGGGAGAGACATGATATCTGTCTTCAGATATTTGAAGGGGCTATGTTAAGGCAGAGGAATAAGGCTTTATATAGTTAAGAATACAGAACTGTTCACAAGTTAGAAGTCAGATGTGGAAAAATAAAGGTAAGAACAATCCACAAATTTTCAACTGTTCATATATTTTAAAACCTTCCCTGTTGGGGAGTATACCGTCACTGCCAAGTGTTGGAGAACAGACTGAGCTTCCTCCCAGCTCTGCAGTGGGCAGGAGGGTGGGCTTGGCTGTGACCCCTGAGGGTGCTTTTACAGAGAGGCCTTTATAGGAGGCTCAACTAGACTTTGACTTCTAAGAGTCCTACACTAAGAGTTAGTGACTTTTTACTTTGGCAGTATGGATCCAACTCAGGTTTTGACCAGTAGGATAAAGAAGGTCTTTGGGGCTGGACATGGTGGCTCACATCTGTAATACCAGCACTTTGGGAGGCTGAGGCAGGCAGATCACCTGAGGTCAGGAGTTCAAGACCAGCCTGGCCAACATGGTGAAACCCCATCTCTACTAAAAGTACAAAAATTAGCTGGGTGTGGTGGCAGGCGCCTGTAATCCCAGCTAATCCCAGCTACTAAGGAAGCTGAGGCAGGAAAATTGCTTGAACCCAGGAGGCTTAGGTTGCGGTGAGCTGAGATCACGCCACTGTACTCCAGCCTGGGCAACAAGAGTGAGACTCCATCTCTAAATAAATGAATAAATAAATAAATAAATAAAGTGAGACTCTGTTTCTAAATAAATAAATAAATAAATAAATAAAAGGAGAGACTTTGAAAAAAGACCTATTTAAATTTGATAACTCTGGCAGAGATATGTTGGATGGATTAGAGGAAAAGGTGATAAAAACATTGGCTGGAGTAAAAGCATTGCAAGGAAAAAGGAAGTAATATTGTTACTGTAAAACAGGTAGCTTGGTTGGTCGCTTCGTGGGTATCAACTTAATTATCATAACCAAGGAAGATTAAATGAAAGAGATTTTATTACTTTTAACAAGTAAGTAGAATACCATGGATAGTTCCCAAAGCAGTGTCTCCCTGAGCTGGAAGCTGTGTCAGGTTTTATAAGCATAGGGTAATGAGGCATGATCTGATTGGATCTTGCAATGAGGTAGTGCTAGGAGGCATTATCGGACTGGATGCCAGAGCTCATTCTGATTGGATACTGGATCCTGTCGTTCAGTGTATATTAGTTTGTTTTTCATTGTTACAAATGAAAACCTGAGATTGGGTAATTTGTAAAGAAAAGAGAATTACTTGACTCACAGTTCTGCAGCCTGTACAAGCATGGCACCAGCATCTGCTTGGTTTCTGGTGAGATCTCAGGAAGCTTTTACTCATGACGGAAGGCAAGGGGAAGCAGGTGTGTCACATGACAAGAGAGTGAGCAGGGGAGAAGTGAGGGGATGCTAGACTCTTTTTAAACTTATCAGCCATTTCCTCTTGAAGGGCACTAAGCCATTCATGGGACTCTCTCATTAGACCCCAGTCTCAACGTTGGGGTCATATTTTAACATGAGATTTGGAGGGGACAAACATCCAAACTTTATCATCGTGTCTGCTGCTTAATTCAGTTCCTGCTTCTCAGCTGAGCATTTAGATTCCTCCTGTGGTTGCACCATTGGTTCATCTGAGCATGGTCAGGCTATGTGACCTGAGGGTCCATGGCAACTGAGAAACAATTCATAACATTATTACATAAAAGTTGAACCAGATTGGTCTGGTGCAGCTACAATATGTGTAAGAAACTTTCAAATGAAGAATAAAGTTCATGTCTTGTTAGGATTTGTTACTTGAAAAAAACCTGGTTCCTTTGCCTGGCAAGAACAAACAACTCTTCACCAGAATGCAGGTTTTGACTGGCCCAGTCGCTCATGCCTATAATCCTAGCACTTTGAGAGAATCGCTTGAGCCCAGGAGTTCGAGATCAGCCTGGGCAACATGGGGAAACTTTGTACAAACTTAAAAATTAGCTGGGCATAGTGGCACATGCCTGTAGTCCCAGCTACTCAGGAGGCTGAGGTGGGAGAATCACTTGAGCCCAGGAGGTCCAGGCTGCAGTGAGCGGAGATCACACCACTGCACTCCAGCTTGGGCAACAGAGTGAGTTCCCTACCTCAAAAAAAAAAAATAATGCAGGTTTTGATCAATGGGAGTTTTATTACTAGTCACAAGTACAGAGAGCTCTGGGAGTATTCTGTAGCCGAGTGTGTTCCTGAGGAAAAGCAACAGGAGGGTTTTATGGGGAGGTGGACGGGGACAGGGTGTGTCATCGCATGTAGAGGAGGGGTCCCAGTGGTACAGATACAGTGAATCATTATGTCAGCACGTAGGTTTCAAGTTATAGTAATGAAGCTATAGTTCCTCCCATGGTGGAGACTTTAGCATGGTAATGAGGAAAGTTTACTTGGGCTCATTTATAAATTGTCAGTTTGTCCGGAGTTGGTTCCAGCTGACTAGGTGACCACATTCCGTAGAAAGTGTGGGAAAGAGCAGGCTGCAAGGCAGGAGGCTGCAAAACAGGCTGATTGTTCAAGTTGATTAAATTCCTGTAGCATCTGGAAACCCTCCTCATCTGCTTATAGGAAGTGGAGGTGAAGGAAGTAAGGGAGTTCAGACAACTTAAACCCAAGACAGCTTTATTTGGAGAGTTTGGCATGAAGCACTTTAGAAATGAGTTTAGGGTAAATAATTGTTATAAATTCCATTAATTGATAACAAAGTATTAACTATGCTTAGAAGAAGTAGGGATATAAATGGACAGTTTTTGCAGGCTACTGGGAAACTTTATAAAAACTACTCATTCTTATCTTTTTTCCCTTTTTATCAAAGCTCAATGTAAAACAATGTTTTAAAAATATAGAAAATAAAATTTTGGTGACTTTTCCCCAGTGATAACCTTGGTATTTAACACTGTATAGTCAGCATTTTTCTGAGCCTGTTCTTCAACACTGTGATCATTAATAACTCTATGGTATTCTGTTTTATTACTACATCACAGTTTAGTTAACAGTTCTTACTGTTGAACATTTAGTTTATGCTTTTGTTATTTCCTGTTATAAATTGTGTGACCACAAATATCTTTGTTCATACATCTTTGTGCACATAGCTAATTATTTCCTCAAGAAAAATTTCTAAAAGTAGAATTACTAGATCCAAAGGTGTGCTCTTTTTGAAGATTCTTAATGCATGTTGCCAAATTATTCTCTAATCAAGATCTTTTTTCTATTGACCTTTTATTAGTTTTTTTTAAGAATACTTTAAAAAAAAAAAAAAAACCTCAAACCTGAAGAAGAGTTGCAAGATTAATAACAAAGAAACTTTTTGTCTGGTGGATCATAAATTGCTTAGTATGCCATTACTCCTAAACACCTGACTTTGCGTTTTCTACAAAGAAGTATGTCCTCCTACATAACCACTATACAACCAGTAAAATTATCTAATTCTTAGCCTTCATTCAAGATTTTCCCAGGTTTGAATATTGTCGTTTGTAACAAAAGGAATCACATTTCGTTTTTATGTCTCTTTAGCTTCCTTCAGTCTGGAACAGTTCCTCTTTCTTTGACTTTTAAGACCTGACACATTTATATTATAGGTCAGTTATTTTGTGGAATGCTCTGCAGTTTGGATTCTAGCTCAGTTTTAATATTTATGGAAGACTCATTATGAAATAAATTTTTCCCAGCTCTCCTTGATTTAACTTGAATGCACATGCAAATAATGAAAAACCGACAGTAACTATTAGTCACCAAATGAAGAATTTAGAAATATTAATTGAACAAAACTCTTATAGATTGAATATAAATGTCATACATAAGTAGACTTTATTCCCTCATTTTAAAGAGTAATATACACTTTTAAGTGTTCAGTTTTCAGACATATTCACAAACGAGAAAGATGAGTTGAACCCAGCTATTGATTTTCTTCTCTTTTATAGCTATTATCTTCCTAAAAAGTTCACCCAGTGTAATGTTGAAGAGTATCATGACTTCCTGAATAGTGGAGGTGGTGCCTGCCTTTTCAACAAACCTTCTAAGGTAATAAGTGTGGCTAACAAGGTTTATGATATTAATTATCAACCTTTCTAAAATATTATAAATACACATTTTCAACTATTGAATCTTAGAGAGCTTTTCAACTTGCCCTATATGTACATATTCTAGATATGCTATATATCTGAATATTCAAAGTCAGCTTTAACGTTGGGCATTTTGGGCTATTCTGAAATAACAGTGTTTGCTGTCTGAAAAATTTCCACTTTCTTTTTTTTATAGCCAAGTGATGATTCAGAGTTAGTTTACAAAAATGGTTTTATTACTTTTCTTTTTTATTTTCTTGATGCTTATTTTTTTTTTGGTTACCTAATCACAACTCATACAGGTAGAATGTAGGGGCATGTCTACCCTCATCACTCCCTACACTGCTTTTCTGAATGAGCAGTATGTTAAAATTACAAGTATTTCTCAATATGAAAAGCAAGTCTTTCTAAAGCAGAAATGAAGACGATCTTGGACTTTGTCACAGGCTTTTACAACTTGCAGTGCATCCCCTGGTTACTGACTAGAAAGAAGGTCTTCCTCCTGCATTTTGAAGACTTTGCATGTTAAAAAAAAATGCTTTGTCCTTGTGAATTATGTGAACCGCGAAATGCTCTGTGCACCACAGGGATATGCACCATTGCCTTTGAAATCAATTTAATTTACCTGGTTTAATTTTCTGTTCACTACAGTGAAATTTAGAAATTTCACTGAATTGAATTGAAAAACGAATTGACAATTTTAAGGCTCTTCAAAAGATTGGAAAGAATATTTGAACTGTGTCACTGCTGCCGTAAATACTAAACAGTTCAAGTCTTTTTACCAAAATAACTGATTATTGTAAACCCAGAGTAAGAGAATAAGTGTGGTTTTCATTTGGATAAGTTTCCATTTTGACTGTTTTTTATTTGTTATGATCTGTTTCAACCAAAAATGAAATATAGACAAAAGTTGACTCATTTGTAGAAGAGAGAATATTTAAAATCAAGTGGGTTTTGTTGTTGTTGTATATATTCTTTATTTTGTTTTTTTTTTTCCTCTAGTTAGTTATGAAAGTATATGTGTGCATGTGTATGTCCATCTGTTTACTGGTGTGTGTACATTTTCATTCTATGATATGTAGACTTTGATTAGCTTTTGAATGAATATTATGTATCTGGCATATAACAATTATTTACTAATTTTGCCTGTCACCATAGGATACATTATATTCAAAAAAGAACAAAATTGATGAAGAGCTAAACAATAAAACAGACCTAAAACATACACTTGGACAGGTCAAAGTCTGCTTCAATCTCTGGGGAAAATTTAATTTTAGTTTGCTACAAAACTATCTTAATAGGAGGAGCTGTATTTTATATTAATTAGATCAATGGATATACTAATTTTTTGATGCTTTTCTCATTGTCTAAGAAATAGTTTCCTGTATCAGAAGGAGATATAGTAATAAAGCATTTTTCACAGATGGCTAAACTTAATCCTCAAAAATTTTCTGATGTAAATGGACAACTATTATTATTAGTATTATTATTCCTGTTCTAGATATTAAGGTCTCTGAGATGTTAAGTAATTTACCCAAGATAAATACTTGAGCCAAGATTTTCCTCTAGACATCTGACTCCAAATCCCCTGCTGCTGGTTTCAAATGAATTTTCAGGAGACAGTCTGGCTTGATTTTAGTGAATGATTAGATCATCTTTAATTTTGATGACATTTACCAGACCCTATGTGGTATGTATGTTATATATATAAATATATAGGTAAACTATATGCTATGTATATTAAATATGAAAAGGAAACAGAAGTAGACACTTCTGTTTTAAAGTTCCAAGTTCTGAGCTCATGCTTTCTAGTTTAGGAAAATAAAACTATATTTTAGAATGACTTGGCAGGGCAGGTGTATTTGGGTATGGCACTTATGGTCTCTCAAAGTCTTTGATGTTGATTTTTCTATCTTTTAGTTCACTTTTTGGTTTTTCTTACAGCTTCTTGATCCTCCTGAATGTGGCAATGGCTTCATTGAAACTGGAGAGGAGTGTGACTGTGGAACCCCGGCTGTAAGTCTCTGGTTGTTTTGATGTTATTTTCAAGGTAATTGAGGGTCATTCCAGGTCCACACACTCAGACGTATGGAGCAAGTGTCATGCCTGGAAATTTTATAGGATTTGTGGAAGAAAAATTATTGTGAGTTTGTACATTTATTTTAGAAAATATCCTGTTACTTTCAGGAAAGTGACACCATTTTCTGATGTTTTGAAAATGTTTATATTCCTTAGGAATGTGTCCTTGAAGGAGCAGAGTGTTGTAAGAAATGCACCTTGACTCAAGACTCTCAATGCAGTGACGGTCTTTGCTGTAAAAAGTGCAAGGTAAATAAACGTTAATGATCATTTGACAGCAAAAAAAAGAACATACTTGATTAAATCATTAAGGCTGGGTACATATAATCTAATAACAAAAATAGTATCTAATACATATTAAATGACTAAGTGCCAGGTGCTTTACAGGATCCTCACAAAATCTTGTGTGGTGTAGTTGCTTGTTATTATTCCTATCTAACAGATGAGAATACTAAGGCTTGTAGTGGTTAAGTAGTTTGCCCAAGGTCTTACACCAAGTAAGTTGGGGAACTAGGGCCTGAGCCCTGTTAATCTTCAGAGGCTGTCCTTTCCATACTTCCTGTGGAGCATGCACATTAAATGAAACCAGGTGTTACTAATGTTTAAATGATGTTTGCCTTTCTTGGTAAAGCCAAGGAGACTTTCAGTAGATCTTTTCTTGTTGCTGAGCTTGGTGTATCTCTCACATTAGCTGCTGAGGAAGCAAGGGAGTACTTTGAGACGTGATTATACCATGCATATATTATTGGTCCTGAAAGTTTAGAATGCATTTTCACACACTTTATGTTTTCATCCTCCCAGCAGCATCCTCTTTCTTATCTCCATATATTTAAGCCTTTACATCAAGACTAACAATTGAGGCTTACTTCTCCTGAAGAAATCTAATTCTTGTTTTCTCATATAAAATCTGGTGTAATAGTCTACATTATTTCTATCTGTCTCTCACTTTCCTCTGTACATTTCATGGAGCAGAGCCAGGCACTTAGACAGTAATTGGTATACATTCTCAGTAAATATGTGTTGAGTGAATGAATAAATATGCACAGCACTCTCTTAGTGATAATTTACTGATTAACTTTAGTCGAATGAGTTAAAGGAGGATGGGATATGAAACTATATAGTGAGTATCTACTGTGTGCCAGAAATTATGCTAAGGACTTCAGTATCATCTTATATCTGAATTTCTCAACTCTGGCACTGTTGATATTTTTGGCTGGATAATCCTTTGTTGTAAGGGTATGTCTTGTGCATTGTAGAATATTTAGCAGTATCTCTGCATTCCACCCATTAGGTGCCAGCAGCACCCCTCCTAGGTGGGACAGCCAAAAATGTCTCCAGACACTGCCAAATGTTCCCTTGCAGGTAAAATCACCCCTGGTTGAGACCACTCTCTGAGATGATGCTCACAAGCACACTTTTGGGATAGGCATTATTGTCTTGATTTTTATAATTAAACAATCTCAGTCTCAAGGAAGTTAAATAACCTGTACACAGGCTCACTCAGCCAGTAAGGAATAGATGTACAGTTAAACCCCAGATCTGCTCTCAGCAGTTTGTTGTTTCCACTCTACCACTGTGTCTCCTGGCAGCTTTTTAAGACAAGCAGGCACTGGCAGAGATCTCTGAAAGCACTCTGTAAAAAAGAAGATTAAACCAAATGTGAAAGACATTCTTTGATTTTGGCTACCACCCCTGTTTATTCTGTCAACTTTTTCCACTGCCGTAACAAGAAATCCTGAATCATTTATCTTAATCCTCAGTATTTTAAGTCAGCCCATCTATAAAATGTGTTTAGTTACACTGCTTTCCCTTTGATTTATACAACTACGCTCCCTGTGATATAATTATTTCAAGAAACAAGTAGAAAAATAATACAATTAAAATACATAAAATAAAATGGCATGACTGCTATCCCTCAAAGTAAGTTATAGCTGTATCAGTCAAGAGTCAAGTGAGATCTTCTTTGCCACTTTCTTTACCATCCTTCCCAACTCTCACCTGACACCCTGGACTCCTAGGGCAGCCAGAGGCAGGACAGTGAATGGAGGAGGGAGAATAGAAGAAAAAGATAAGCAACCATGTGTATCTCTATTTTTTTCTACAGGTATTTATAATAGTGTATATATAAGCCAGCATTGGCATACTTTTTCTATAAAGAGCCAGATAGTAAATAGTTTAGGCTTTGTGGTCATAAAGTTTCTGTTGCAGCTCAGCTTTGCCTTTGAAAGCAGCCATTGAAAATACAGAAACAAATGGGCATAACTGTGTTCCAATAAAACTTTATTTATAAAGATAGGCAGTCAGTGAAGTTTGACCCATGGGCCACAGTTTGCAGACCACTGCTGTTAAAGAGTACTTGTTTACTTATTACTTTTCTTCTCCCATTATAATACAAGTTCCAGTAGGGCAAGGATTTTGGTTGATTTATATACCGTTGTATCCTAGCACTTAGTGAAAATCCTGCCTCACTATTCTTTCTTTTAGAAGTTTCCTGGGACTTCTTGAACATTATGCACTCCTCTAAACTACCCCAAATTTGCTCATATTTCTACCCTAGATATTCTAAAATGGTGGCTTGCCTCAGTCCCAAGGAAGAAGAGAAACATGTGAAATTAAATTTTCTTATTTCTTTATTTTTAACCCACATTAAGATGCAAGTTCCTTATGAGCAGGGTTCTTGTGTTTTGTTCTCCATTGAGTTCCCAGTAGTTAGAACAGTGCTTGGCATGTTATTAAATATTTGATGAATGGATGAATGAATACATATTTTGTTTGGATCTAAAAAAAATACTTGTTGAAATCCAGATTGGAGTTTATAGTGGGCAGTGCATGTTCTAGGAACAGCAGGAGACTCAAATGCCTGTAGGGTTCTGAGCAGCTAGAGAAGATAAAGCTTATCTAGAAAGTGGGGAAAGCAGAATAACATGTGCCTTTGTGTGAGCAGAGACAAAGCATGTAAGGATCCAGCCCTGAATGCTAACATTTTTGAGAGGAAAAAAGAGAAGGATTGAGAAGGGAAGGGGAGGTACTTTAACTATATATCTCAGGTCTGTTTCGTTTTAATGAGTACTCCTGCAATTCACATTTTTAACCTAATGAAGTTAAACATTTGTGTAATTCTCACACTTGCAAGAAGTATTTGAGATGATGGAAAACAGAAAAACAAAAACGCCTATACGAAGACATAAATAATAGAAACACTAGAAAATAATAAAAGACCAAGATCTAAATCCATGTAAAAACGAGGCAGGGGAGAAGATGGGTAGAAGAAACATGGGAAGAAATAGCTTTGTCAGAAAATCTAATTTTTGTGGTTCAACCCAAAATGTAATTTTTAAATTCTTGGTAGATAAGGCAAAAAAGGATAATGTGATTAAAGTGTCAGTGAGAATGAAGAGTAAAGGGTAAATTCAAAAGCTATTTGTACAGAAAAATTACTGGAACCTGGACTAACTGGTCTGTCTTGTGGGATTTAGCAGTATAATATAAAGCTTATGTGTAAGGACTATGGAAATTACATCATACACAAGAAACTGTTTCTTAAAACTATTAAAATTTTTTTCAGTAACCGTGGTTTTGACAGATTACCATCTTACAGTAGTTTAAGGTATTTCTAGCCAAACAATTTTCACTTCGTTTTTTTCAGATGATATTGTAAGATTTTTTTTTTTTCTCCCTACAGTTTCACACATTGATTTTTGTTCATTTTAGTTTCAGCCTATGGGCACTGTGTGCCGGGAAGCAGTAAATGGTTGTGATATTCGTGAAACATGCTCAGGAAATTCAAGCCAGGTAATTTACAAAATAACTGCTCTAAACCTCATGGGAAAAAGTGGGGTTATCTTTAGTGCACTGACCCTCAAAGAGAAGTGTAAATGAACAAGTTGCTCATGTCTCTTTCACATCATTTCTCTATTTTTTTTTTAGGAATTTAAGTTTCAGTGATTGAAGCTTGAGCAGATGTTGAACATAATTTTGTCTTAATGTTGAACTAGCCTCAGACTGCATGCATGCCTTAACTATTTTGTTTTTGTATTAAGTAGGTAGTACAAGGCATTTTCTTTTTGTCTACTTAGTAAAGGAAGAAACAAAAAAAACCTTTCTCTTCAGCTGATTGAACAAGAAGTCAGTGGAGGCAGGGACTCACAAGCACACTGGATTCTTAGAGAGGACCTTTTTCTTTCTCTTGACTCTTACCTACTACAGCTTGTATCGCCTCAGCCATTAATAGCTGCTCTTGAGTTTTATAGCACTTAGTTATAGATATACAAGCTAGAGAAATTAAATAAACTTTGGTGGGGGTTCACAGATTTCAAAATGGTCAGTGTACATACAGACTGTCCTCACTTTGAAGGGTAGTGCCAAACCATAAAAATGACCATGCAAGCTGAGACCATGCAAAGTCATTTTAATAATCAAAGGAAAATATTTCAGTTGCTTTGCAGTCTTCAACAATGCTGTCAGATTATTAAAAACTCTCTTACTGCTGGTTTTAAATGGATAGGAAGGTGAAATAATAATATTTATTTAGCATACTGTACATTAAAAGAGAAACATTGAGAATTAAAGGATTTTATTTCTTTGTAAAAACCTTAGGAGTAGTTTGAATAGAGCTTGCCTTCTTATAAGCTTTATGATATAGAGTGAGCATATTTTCTATGTCTTGTTGAGCTGTCACACTCTTTTCTAAGTTTGGATCAGCTTTCAACATTTTATTCTTTGTGCTTTCAAAGTCATGAGATATCCCTGAGAGATGTGAAGATGTGAACGTGAAGTTTCTTGCTGGCATTACGCCCTCTGGGACATCATCACCTATATGTCATAATCACCTTATTCACCGATGTCATTAAGTCCTCCTTCAGCAAGTTCCTCTGGTTGCATGTCTAGAGGCTCTTGGACAGCAGTATTGACATTCCCACAGTCAGCCATTTTTTTCTATAACTCCATTTAAAAGTTCAATTTGCATTTTACTTCTGGTGTCATCACTTTTCTTTGCCGCACTTCCATCTCTGTTGGCCAGTTTCTTCTCTTGATACTCTGTTTTTGCAAAATGGCACATGATATCACCAGAAGACAAAGAGGCAACATAATTGCACACTTTGCTCTCTGTTTATACTCATTCAATAATGCCTTATAATTTTTCATAATTGCTGTAAGGAAAAAAGTAGGATTATAAAGTATATCCTTTTCTGACATTCTTAAAGTGGACTTCAGCTTGAAAGTCATTATTTTCAGTATAAGCACTATGTTTCCTCTCATGGCAAAAGAAAGGAAACTGTAGTTATTGCTCCATCTATGCAGACTTTCTCCTTATGTTTGTTTTGTTCCCTTAGCTTTCCTGCTCTGAAAAATAGTATATCTGTATGAATTAAGATGCTTTTAAATGTATCATCAATTGAGTCTATTGTAGTCAGTTCTTTTTATTTGCTGCTGTGTAATCAACTGTTTTTGCCTCTGGTAGATTCATATTTTCAGGGTCAAGTGTACCCATTGTTTTTCCTCTTGCTTTCTCTTTAATTTTTTAAATTTATTTTTTACCAAATACCCAGACTTCAAGGACATCCACTTGCTTTCTCTTGACCTCCTTTGCATTTTGTTTTATAGATGGTATAAGGGACTAGCCATATTAATAAATATGTTTTTAAAAATGAAAACATTAAAGGGTTTAGCTCAGCCTTATATTTTGCACCGCATTTCGTTCATAGTTGTTCTGTTTTTCCTAGTGTGCCCCTAATATTCATAAAATGGATGGATATTCGTGTGATGGTGTTCAGGTAGGTCACTTCATTTTTACCTATGTTTTTCACATGTACCAGCGTAGAAGGAATACTGAAATCTTATCAAAATAGGAAGATCAATTTAAATGTTTATAATCAGTTCTGAAGATAAAAGGCCTTTCTACTATTTATCTATTATTAGTTTCTTTTTCAGTTATCTGACATAAGCAGATATTGCATCACTAATGGGTATTTGCTTTTCTGTTTTAGGGAATATGCTTTGGAGGAAGATGCAAAACCAGGGATAGACAATGCAAATACATCTGGGGGCAAAGTAAGTAAATAGTGTGGCTGGATCATTGTTAAAGCATGATATCAGGCAGACTTCTCAAGGACATGTGTGCTGGAAGTAAATTTTTGACCACTTTATGACTGGGGGATTCTCAAAGCTACCACAGGTTTTAGCAGGGATATGTTTCTGGAAATTAGAGTAAGGCACCCCTTTGAGAAGACAGCCCCACACATCTTGCTAGTTGGCAGTGCCTGTGGACGAGACAGAAAGTGCCTTTGCTGCCAGGCTGATGAAGCCCATGCCAGGGTGCATAGCTTGGAGATTAGAGCAAACCTGGATTTCAGCTCCTTGTATACTCTTTTCAGCTGAGTGCCCTGAAGCTAAAGCTTACACAACCATGTGGGATGGACATGGACCCTGGACAGGACGTCCTTAACTTAGAACAGCAGCATTTTATCTAGAGTCATTTTTTTCCTCCTTGGATATTTTTCTTAAACTCCAGTTGGCTTTCCTAGTTAGAGATGAACTTCTGCTGAAGTGGTTTTGCTGTATCAGAAAGAAATGTTAATGTTTTAGCCTTTAAAGTCTGTCAGATTTTCAAAGGAAAATATATAACATTTAGATTTAAATTATACTCTATTTAAATGTTTATTTAAATGTTGAGTAATGTATTGTTTTCTAGAAGTACTACTAGCCCAAACTTTTGGGAGCAGTTTTTGTTTTAAACTGTTTCAGGAGACAATTTGTAGTAGAAAAAAGGCTATAAAAATGATGATAATTTTTAATTGTTATAAGTAAGTGCCACAATCCTTTTAGGAGGGGAAGTGTATGCTCTCTTTAAGCAATTGGAAACATTGGGATGGCAAAACATTTAGTCAGTCAGGTTTGTACTCTGAAAAAAAGATATCATTTTTGTTTTATCCACTTGAGCAAAAATAGTAGCTGACAACAAGAAGTAGGAAAAGAAACTACCAACATAACTAGTTGTTTAAAAAAAAAAATACCAACAATTATTCTTTGATTAGTTTGCATTTCGTCCTAATTCTTAGATAACTCTATCAACCATCCCTGGTTTTAGAAAAGATAAAAGCCTGAAAAAGATACTGATGTACCTCAAAATGTTATTTGACTTCCATAGATTTAACATGAATTCAAACTTGTCTTAAAGCGAAGTAAAATTGCTTTAGATAGCTGCTAAGAAGTGGTGAGCAAGGTAGAAATTGTACCACTGTTTCTTGAATCTATAGGATATAACTATTTTAATAAACTTGTCTTTATGATTAATAAAATATGCTGAATGAGAAATTCATGTATTATATTTAGCACTTAGATTAAAGAATGGAGTATATATTCAAGGAACTATTTGTTATTGTTTTCCCTAATTATTGGCCAAATTCTTTTTTTGTTGTTGTTTGAGATGGAGTCTTGCTCTGTTTCCAGGCTGGAGTGCAGTGGCGTGATCTCAGCTCACTGCACCCTCTGCCTCCCGGGTTCAAACGATTTCCCTGCCTCAGCCTCCCAAGTAGCTGGGACTACAGGCGCATGCCACCACACCTGGCTAATTTTTTTGTATTTTAGTAGAGACGGAGTTTCACTATGTTGGCCAGGATGGTCTCGATCTCCCCACCTCATGATCTGCCCGAATTATTAGCCAAATTCTAAGGAGTGTTGATTTTTGTAGCCTACAGCCTGAGTCCCAACAGAGATCTAAATATATTTGCTTTCTAAATTTCAAATGAGCTTTAATGAAAACCTGAGTCATGGATATATATGATCCATGGTAAAATTGTGAACCATTGGTAACATTTTTGGAATTGATAACACTGTAGTCATGAAAAGTCCTTATATTACAATTTTTCTTTTCTGCAAAGATTTTGAGCAGCCAAATGTTACTTCCATCACTGATAGAAAATTTTTTTCTGCTTTAGAGGTGACAGCATCAGACAAATATTGCTATGAGAAACTGAATATCGAAGGGACGGAGAAGGGTAACTGTGGGAAAGACAAAGATACATGGATACAGTGCAACAAACGGTGAGGTGGAGAAGTCAGCCCAGAATTCATCCCCTGGTCAATTACAAGTGTACTTTTTTGAGTGAATGGGAAGTTTTTGTTTTCTGCATCACACAAAGTGTGCTCTTGCCTCCTTAACCTCATCTCTTCCCAGTGTTCCAGCATCACCTATGCAGAGGGCTTCCAAATCTTGACGTATGTTCTCACCTCTTTCCTAAGGCTAGGTCATGCTTGCAGCCACCTCAGGATTTTCTTACCTAGAAGACACCGTTTAGCATCCCAAAAGCAACAGAACTTAAAGCCACCAGAATATGCACTGAGTGCTATTGAATTGAATTAACTGGCTCTAACTTTCCCAAACCACCCCCTTTTTGCCAAAGGTCTCAATATTTTACTGTCCTTCTGTCTAGAAGGCTTAAAGTGATCCTTCCCTCTACACGTTGTCCAAATGCCAAATTACATTCATTCTTCCCTTTGCTTTGCCACCATTTGTCTTTAATTCATGTATTCACTTACATTCCTATTGCCATTACCTGAACTAAGACCTATATTAATCCTTCAACTATTACAAAATTATTTTAACAGTTTTCTGTGCCAGCATTCCCTAGTGTACTACTCTCAGAATAATCTTTTGGATCTTTTTCACTGCCAGTTATTTGTTGAAAGTTCACTGGTTCCACATGACTAATTAATAGTGAGAACAGTACCCAGCACTGATTGAGTGAACACTGTGTACTAAGCACTGTATCACACTTTACATAAGCTATGCCATTTAATCTTTATGGCAGTCCTACCATTTTATGGAGGAGGAAACTGAGACACAGTTAATTTGCCCAAAGGCATGTATATGGAATGTAATAATAAGCAGAATTAGAATTTGGAGAATATGATTTCAGAACTCTCTCTTCACCACTTTGCTGAATGTCATAGTCTTGTTAACAAATTAAATGGAACCTCAGCTTGGCACTGTACCTATTCCACAGTTGTCCCCAACCTACACTTTTTGTCATTTCATTTATATTCTTCCAAATCTAGCAAACCTTACCATTCCTAATATGTCCCTACCTCTATGCCTATTTTTATCCTCTATAATCCTCCAGAAGCACCCTTTAATTCATACCATCGTCAACCAAAAATATATCTATTCTTCAAAGCCCAACTTGCAAAACACTTTCTATATATAAATTTCTTTCTGATTTACTCTAGAAATAAATAATCTCTCTCTTCTTTGAACTCCCACAGCCCTTTGTACTTATTTGTCCCTAATTTTATTTTATAAGTTGTTTATGTGTATGATTTATCTTCTCATCTAGAGTATAATTTTCTTGTGAATGAAGATTATATCTAATTTTCTTTATATATTCTACATTACATAGGTTCATATACATAAATGACATTCAAAAAAGTTTTGAATGAATATTTCTTCTCTGTTGAGAAAGCATTTTTGTTTATGATAGATACAGTAAATGATGACATAATTTTAAAAAGCATTTTTAAAGAATGATAGTACGTTCTTTTCTATGTTGGTGAAAAATATAGGTTCTAATTTTTCTTTTTTCTCCATCTGGTAAAGTCTGATATTTTTGTATATAATCTTGCTGACTTACTAATTACTCTTCACAAGATATTTTAAAAATATGTTTATTGTTATCTCTACTAATAATTAAAATGTCTTGGATATAAATAATACGTAAGATAGTATTAACAACAATAAAGATATTTTATAAGTTAAATTAGAATCATATGTAGTAGTTGGGGAAGTAGTGAAATATATTGAAGAAGGGATAATGAGCCTTTGTAGTTGACATCTGTAAACTAAATGGAGTCTATAATTTCTTCTTTAATTCTAGGGCAGCAGGTTGAAAAAACATGTGTATTCCAAAAGAATGCTCATCCAAATATCATTCAGTTACCAAGTTTAAAAAAAAATTGGCTGGGCACAGTGTCTCATGCTTATAATCCCAGTGCTTTGGGAGGGTGAGGAGGGAGGTTGCTTGGGGTCAGGAATTCAAGGCCAGCCTGGGCAACATAGTGTGAGACCCTGTCTCTGTGAAAAATTTAAAAGTTAGTTGGGTCTGGTAGCATATACCTGTAGTCCCAGCTACCTGGGAGGCTGAGGCAGGAGTATCACTTGAATCAGAAATTTGAGGCTGCAGTGAGCCATGATCACACCACTAGACTCCAACTTGGACAACAGAGTAAGACCCTGACTACGGGAAAAAAAAAAGAAAAGAAGAAGAAGAAATAGATTAGTATATCCAGTGTTGTGTTATGGGAAAAGAGATTTCAATATAAAATAAGCCAATTTGATGGATTCTTTAAATACTTGAACTAATAGACAGTAAAGAAAAAGCTAGAAAACAATTGAGATTTTGGTACATTAATAAGAGTTTCAGAGAAGACACTTTTTAGAGCAGGTGGCACACTATTAGGACTTATTTTATTTTGTTTAGCATATGTGTAGATAGTATACTTGATGAAAACCAAATGCTAAAATGAGAGGAGATTATTCTAACTATACATAGTTTGCTACATCTTTGGGAAAAGAAGTAATTGGTAATCTTTTGATACAGGGATGTGCTTTGTGGTTACCTTTTGTGTACCAATATTGGCAATATCCCAAGGCTTGGAGAACTCGATGGTGAAATCACATCTACTTTAGTTGTGCAGCAAGGAAGAACATTAAACTGCAGGTAATTATCTAACCATTCTGTAAGAACCTGAGTCATCTTATTTCTCAGGAATGCAGTTTAGGATTCCTTCCATTTTCAATTAACGTACATGTTAGTAAGTCGAAATATAATCTAGTCTATAGAGGCGATTGAGTAAATCCTAACAGAGAAGAGATAAAAAGAAGACAAAAAGTAGTTGAATGAAGAATATTATGTGATTACTAGAGTTAAGTTTAGATTGGTCAGTAAAGTCTTACAGAGTTTGGAAAATGAATGAGGACTTCTGGGTAAATCAATGTATTAAATATATGCATCTACTTTTGCTCCCTTATGAAATCCCACTAATAAGATAACAAATGGATCTTTTTTTAGAGTTCATATATCCACAGGGAGGCATAGAAAGAGAGACGAGACAATCGCAACAATATTTTGTTATGTATAAAGCAAATGGATGTGTGGCACATGACTTATCAAAGCTGAGAAAGCTGAATTCCTAAGTCAGTAATGAGGAAAACTGAGAATCAATCCAAGATATACTCTTACTTCCCCACAGGCTCAGAAATTGGCAGCATCATCTACTTTAGGAAGAGGGAGGAAGGAGTGGAGGGAAGGGGCTGAAATACAGAAAATAGATGAAAGGCTGTTTAAAAAGCAGTTAGATACTCAGATTACTTCCCCAGCTCAGCTACACTGTGGATTTCCCACCCTCCCATGGAAGACTGGAGCTTGATACTCCATAGAGAATAAAAGAGGAGGTTTCTAAGCTGGAGGACAGCAAACAATATTTATATAAGGGTTGTATGGAAGTAGTCCAACATCAGTAGTTCAAATTTCCAATCATCTATTCGGTCTCCTGACTCAAATATGAGCAGGTTATCAGAGACGTGAAAAAAAGTCTGTAACATGGAAAAAAAAAAAAAAAGACAAAAACAATGAGACAATGAAGGGGAAGAACACAAAACCACTTATCAGTATTTATGAGAGATAAGAGATTTCTATCACGAAACAAGAAAATAGGGTGCTGTTTCTTTAAACAGGGAACGTTCAGAAAGAAAAAATTTAGTAGTTGAAATTATCTTCCATAAAGTGGGGTAAAAAGGCAAAGAAATGGACCATAGAGAAAATCTTACGCATTAGAATAGCAGTAATAACAGAGGAAACAGCAGGGAGGAAATTTTCAATGAATAAGTCAAGAGAATTGTCTAGAAATAAAGGACTTGAGTTTCCATATTAACAGGCTCACCAAGTGCTGAATACAATGAGTGAAATTAGAGGTACATCTAAACATATCATTGTGAAATTTTAGAACCTTAGGACAAAGTAAAGAATTCTGAAAGTTTCCAGAGAGGAGAAAAAAAATCAAAAACTTAAGAATTAAAATGGTTTAGGATTTAGCACCAGGAGCCCTGGGAGTCAGAAGACAATAGAGAAAATTATTTCCAAAATAGAATTTTGTACTCTGGCAAAATATCAAACAAGTGTGAGGATAGATAATAAAGACATGTTTAGTTATGCTACAAATTTCTCAGGAAAGTACTAGAAATTGCACTCTACCAATTTATCTGAATAGATGCAAAAAAGGGTTTTGATAAAATCCAATATCCTTTCATGTTAAAAAACCAAGAAAGAGAAAGATAGGGAATACAGGAAACAAGATTCCACAAACAGAGACCGGGCAATCCCCAAGTTGATAGTGAGGTGAAAGTCAAGATTTACAGTGCTATGAAACTGACACATGTGGACAATCAGCACAGACAAGAGCAGGCCAGAAACTCCAGGAGACTTTCATAAATAACAAAAAATTGAATTAAGAATAGAAAATGGTTTTCTCCTAGGAGGAGTATCTGGAAGAATGTCTAGAGAGGCAGAGAACTGCTTTATTGTGTTTAAAAACAATTTATCTGTTGATTCTTTAAACTATGTGCATATGTAATTTTGATAAAAATAAATGAAGTGAATGGGTATTGAATGTAAATGGGCTAAATACCCCCATTTGAAAGGTACCAGAGTGACAAGCTGGAGAAAAATAAGACCCCATGGTATGCTGTCTTCAAGAGAGCCATCTCATATGCAGTGACACCTATAGACTCAAAATGAAAGGATGGGGGAAAATCTACCAAGCAAATGGAAATCAGAAAAAAAGCTGGGTTGCAATCCTAATTTCAGACAAAACAGACTTTAAGCCAACAAAGATACAGAAAGACAAAGAAGGGCATTATGTAATGGTAGAAGGTTCACTTCAACAAGAAGAGCTAACTATTATAAATATATATGCACCCAACACAGGGGTACCCAGCTTCATCAAGCAAGTTCTTAGAGACCTACAAAGAGACTTAAACTCCCACACAATAACAGCAGGAGACCTCAACACTTCACTGATAGTATTAGATAGATCATCAAGGCAGAAAATTAACAAAGATATTCAAGACCTGAAGTCAGTGTTGGACCAAATGGATCTGATAGACCTCTACAGAACTCTCCACGTAAAAACAACACAGTCTATATTCTTCTAATCGTTACGTAGCCCATACTGTAAAATTGACCACACAATTGGACATAAAACAATCCTCAGCAAATGCTAGCTAGAGAACTGAAATCATACCAAACCCACTCTTGGACCACAGCACAATACAAATAGAAATCAAGACTTAAAAATGTTTTCAAAACCATGCAATTATGTGGAAATTAAGCAACCTGGTCCTGAAATGACTTTTAGGTAAATAATGAAATTAAGGCAGAAATCAAGAAGTTCTTTGAAACTAATGAGAAAAAAGATACAAAATACCAGAATCTCTGTGTCACAGCTAAGGCAGTGTTAAGAGGGCAATTTATAGCCCTAAATGCCCTCATCAAAAAGTTAGAAAGTTCTCAAATTAACAACTTAACATTACAACTACAAAAGAACTAGAAGAGCAAGAACAAACCAACCCCAAAGCTAGCAGAAGACAAGAAATAACCAAAATCAGAGCTGACCTGAAAGAGACTGAGACATGAAAATCCAGGTAAAATATAAACAAATGTAAGAGTTTATTTTTTGAAAAAAATTAATAAGATAGGTCACTAGATAGACTAATAAAGAAGAAAAGAGAGAAGATCCAAATGAATACATCAGAAATGACAAAGGGGATGTTACCAATGACCCCACAGAAATACAAACAATAATCAGAGACTACTACAAACACCTCTGGCACACAAACTAGAAAATCTGGAAGAGATGGATAAATGCCTGGACACACGCACATGTTACCAAGACTGAACCAGGAAGAAACTTATTTCCTGAACAGACCAATAACAAGCTCCAAAATTGAACCAGTAATAAATAGCCTACCAACCAAAAAAAAAGAAAAAAAAAAAAGGGCACGACCAGACAGATTCACAGCCAAATTCTACCAGATGTACGAAGAAGAGCTGGCACCATTCCTACTGAAACTATTCAAAAAAATTGAGGAGGAACGACTCCTCCCTATTTCATTCTCTGAGGCCAGTATCATCCTCATACGAAAACCTGGCAGAGACTCTTAAAAAAAAAGAAAATTTCAGCCCAGTATCCTTGATGAACATTGATTCAAAAATCCTCAACAAAATACTTGCAAACCAAATCAATTAGCACATCAAAAATCATATCCACCGTAATCATGTAGGCTTTATTCCTGGGTTCCAAGTTTGGTTCAACATACGCAAATCAGTAAATGTGATTTATTACATAAACAGAACTAAAGACAAAAATCACATGATTATCTCAATAGATGCAAAAAAGGGTTTTGATAAAATCCAATATCCTTTCATGTTAAAAAACTTTTAATAAACTAGGTATTAAAGGAACATACCGCAAAATAAGAGGCATCTGTGACAAACCCACAGCCAACATCATACTGAATAGGCAAAAGCTAGAAGCATTCTCCTTGGAAACTTATACAGGACAAAGATGTCCTGTCTCACCACTCCTATTCAACATAGTATTGGAAGTCCTGGCCAGAGCAATTAGGCAAGAGCAAAAAATAAGGGACATCGAAATAGGAAGAGAGAAAGTCAAACTATTGCTCTTTGCTGATGACATGATCCTATATCTAGAAAACCCCATAGTCTTGACCTAAAAGCTCTTCCAACTGATAAACAACCTCAGCAAAGTTTTAGGATACAAAATCAGCATACAAAAATCACTGATATTCCCATGCACCAACAATAGCCAAGCTGAGGGTAAAATCAGGAATGCAATTCCGTTCACAATTGCAATAAAAATTATAAAGTACCCAGGAATACAGCTAGTCAGGGAGGTGAAAAATCTGTGCAATGGGAATTTTAAAACTCTGCTCAAAGAAATTGGAGATGCCAGAAACAAATGGAACAATATTCCTTGCTTGTGAATCAGAAGAATCAATATCATTCAAATGGCCATACTGCCAAAGCCATTTACAGATCAAATGCTGTTGCTATCAAACTATCAATGACATTCTTCACAGAACTAGAAAAAACTTAAAATTCACAGGGAACAAAAAAGCTAGGGGCATCACGTTGCTTAACCTGAAACTATAGTACAGTGCTACAGTAACCAAAACAGCATGGTACTGGTACAAAAACAGATACATAGACCAATGGAACAGAATAGAGAGCCCAGAAATAAAGTCATACACCTGCAGCTATCTGATCTTCGATGAAGCTGACAAAAACAAGTAATGGGGAAATGACCCCCTATTCAATAAATGGTGCTGGGATAACTGGCTAGCCATATGCAGAGGATTGAAACTGGATCCCTTTCTTACACCATATACAAAAACCAACTCAAGATTGAAGACTTAAATATAAAACTCAAAACTATAAAAACCCTGGAAAACAACCTAGGCAATACTATTTTGGACATGAGAATAGTCAAAGATTTCATTACGAAGACACCAGAAGCAATCATAACAAGCAAAAATTGACAAATGGAATCTAATTAAACTAAAGTGCTTCTGCACAGCAAAAGTAACTATCAACAGAGTAAACAGACAACCTACAGAATGGGAAAATTTTTTTGTAAACTATACATTAGACAAAGGTCTAATATCCAGCATCTATAAGGAAGTTAAATTTACAAGAAAAAACAACTCCATTAAAAAGTGGGCAAAGGACATGAACAGGCCTTTTCAAAAGAAGACATACATGTGCTCAAAGAGCATATGAAAAAAGATCGATATCACTGATCATTAGAGAAATTCAAAGAAAAACCACCATAAGATACCATTTCACACCAGTCAGAATGGTTATTATTAAAACGTCTGAAAATTGTGCTGGCGAGGTTGCAGACAAAGGGGAACATTTACACACCTTTGGTGGGAGTGTAAACTAGTTTAATCATTGTGGAAAGCAGTGTGACAATTCTTCAAAGACCTAAAAACCAATACCATTCGACCCAGCAATCCTATTACTGGGTGTAAACCCAAAGGAATATAAATCATTCTACCATAAAGACACAGGCATACGTATGTTCACTGCAGCACTGTTCACAATGTCAAAGACGTGGAATCAGCCTAAATGCCCATCAATGGCAGACTGGATAAAGAAAATGTGGAACATAAATATACACCATGGAATACCACGCAGCCATAAAAAAGAACAAGATCATGTCCTTCACAGGACATGGATGGAGCTGGAGGCCATCATCCTTAGTAAACTAACACAGGAACAGAAAACCAAATACCGCATATTCTCACTTATAAGTGGGAGCTAAATGATGAGAACGCGTGGAAACAAAGAGGGGAGCGACAGACACTGGGACCTATTTGTGAGGGATGTGATGAGGAGGAAGGAATGGATGAGAGAAAATAACTATTGAGTACTAGGCTTAGTAGCTGGATGATGAAATATTCTGCACAGCAAACCCTCATAACATGAGTTTACCTATATTACAATCCTGCACATGTACCCCTGAACATAAAATAAAAGTGACAAAAATGGGGGCTTTTATAGTAGCATTGACATGGCCCCATATGAATAAATTATGAATATACATTTTCAATTCTTACCGTAGTTTTAAAAAACATTTCTAAATAATATATGCAGGTTTGCTATATTGAATAGTGATGCTACAAAAGTTTAGTCATTCTCAAATGTAATTGGTACATACGCAATCTTTTTGGGTCAAGCAACTTATCAAATTACGTACTAGTAATAATGCCTTACTTACCTTTTGGTTGGTAGCCCAAGTGAAATGATAAACCTGTTTCAATTCAGGCCACAGTTACAGTAATTATGTTTAAATCCTAAACTATATCAATTTCTCCAAAAGGAATTAGATCAAAAGATTCAATGGCTTTTTCTGAGTTTGAACTGGCTTATGCACTGGTCTTTAATGAGTAATAAATAGGATAGAGGAAGCAATATTGCCCACTTTTAAGTTTTTGAGTGTGTTTTCAAAATGAATTTGAATTAATAGACATTTTTTGCTCTCAATTTGTTTTAGTGGTGGGCATGTTAAGCTTGAAGAAGATGTAGATCTTGGCTATGTGGAAGATGGGACGCCTTGTGGTCCCCAAATGATGTGCTTAGAACACAGGTGTCTTCCTGTGGCTTCTTTCAACTTTAGTACTTGCTTGAGCAGTAAAGAAGGCACTATTTGCTCAGGAAATGGAGTAAGTATCCAGTACCTTGTCAGGGTCTATTTATTTCTTTTATATCACAGAAATAGATAGGACCCTAAACTATTTATTTTTCTTAATTATGGAAAACATGATTTTTCATATTTCTAGTTGTGTAAATACTAATTCAATTATAGCTATTTGAATATTTCTGTTGTATAATCTGAGAAAGCCTGGGAATAAGGAAAAGAATAATCTTTCTAACTAAATTCTTCCATCTTTCTTCTCTATGTTACTGTGATCTTGTATAATATAATGCCAGCTTTTTACAAGTGAACTAGGAGATACATTTTAACAAACTATGATGGGATTTTAAGAAAGACAATAAAAATTGGATGTGATGGCCACAGTATTTAAAAACGATGTGGTCTGGGCACTGACAAATCTGAACAGACTATCAACTGCTGTAGCCACACCAGCGGGTACAAGCTGAGGATAAGTCCTGGAAATAAAAACAGAATAACTTAGGGAAATGTTTCTTACAAATGAATAGGACAAAAATGGCATTTGAAAGACTTGTAATTCTGTTCTTTCAGTTATGTATCAGATAATGTATATCTTGTACAGGTAAGTTTGCAGGTTAAATATTCATCCTCTACTAGGGATAAAGTTTTGTCAGTTTCAATTAGGAATTCCTATACTACCAAAAAAAATAATTTGTTCTATTTCTTTCAGCATGTGCTATAGCATGCTTTTCATTTTTGTTCCAGATTTTTTGCTTGAACTGTTGTATTCAGTTAAGATAAAGGATCCCTGTTTTGGAACTGTAAGCCTTCAATCCTGGTCATTTCATACATATCCTCAGGGATATTCCAAGAATTTATTTAGGGAAGTAACTAATTGTTACTTCTTGCCAAAGCATAGGAATTCTCATGGCATGTAAGAGTAGAGCAGACACGTACTAAGTAGCTCTGCTCCTATGAAGGAGTCTTCCAAGTCTTATTTTCTTAATCTTTAAGAGGATATTAGGAGATCAGAGGAAAAAAATAATGGAATTTTTCTTGATCATCCATGCTAATGAATAACCATGTCTTATCCTTCTTAAGGTTCTGAAACAAAACACGAGACCAAACATAGTTGTGCTTAGTAAACATTTGTTTAATTAATTAGTAAAAGAATAATCAGTGCAAATAAATCAGATAGCAAATCAACATCCAGATAATTTACAACAATTATGCATAATATAATTATGTATTCACAATAATTATGCATAATTATATTTGGCGTAATTTTAACTTACAGCAACTCAACTCTGTATTTGTGACAAAAAATTAATATGAGAAAAATTAATTCAAGTAAATATTCTTTTTTTTTTTTTTGAGACGGAGTCTCCCTCTGTTACCCAGACTGGAGTGCTGTGGTGCGATCTCCACTCACTGCAAGTTCCACCTCTCAGGTTCACGCCCTTCTCCTGCCTCAGCCTCCTGAGTAGCTGGGACTACAGGCACCTGCCACCACACCTGGCTAATTTTTTGTATTTTTAGTAGAGATGGGGTTTCACTGTGTTAGCCAGGATGGTCTCGATCTCCTGACCTCGTGATCCATCCACCTCAGCCTCCCAAAGTGCTGGGACTACAGGCGTGAGCCACCGTGCCTGGCCATAAATATTCTTTTTGTACTATATATCATGTGGTTAAGAGCGTGGGCTTGCAATCATACAGCCTGGGTTTGAATCCCAACTCTGCTTTTTACTAGCTGGGTAACATAGGGCAAATTTCTTAACCTTTATGATTCAATTTCTTCCTCTGTAAAATGGAGATAATAGTGCCCACTTTAAAGAATTGTGTGAAGAATGAGTTAACTTGTAAAACACTTAAAACAAGACTGGGATATGGGAAGTGTTCAATAAATGTAATCTATGCTATTTATTATGATTACTGTACACTTGCATCATTGTCTGTTCTTGTCACTTTATCACTGATACCTGACATATGATATAGCAACTGATGCTTGAAGAAGCCAGGAGACTTGATTAAGGTCCCTTAGTAAGACAGGAGTGATATGGTGAATCAAATCCAGGCCTTTTAAGCCTAAACCTTTTTCTTTCTGCATATTTGTTAATGTGTAGCTCTTATTGAGGCTGTGTTATAGTTACATATGGATGTGGATGTATGTTGTGTGCCTGAAAATTAGATCAGACAAGACAGAAACCCCTGTAGTAAAAACCTGTCTCAGGAGGAACTTTGCTGATCTTCAACCTAACTTAACCCTCTCCTGCTTCTCTATTCAGAGTTGTTTTGAATTAGATTTAGGTGTATATTCTGTTTCCTGAGTGGACAAATGAAGAGAGATTATTTCCCTATAGTATAAAAAATGGTATCAATTTTGTGTGAATCTTTTTTATATACTCTATTCGTGGGAGTACTTAGTTCCCCTGACCCTGACATCGCTAGTATCTACAGCATGGGTTGAAGTGCCAAGGTTATAGCCTTGTGAAACTTTCTTCTCAGCCCACTGCAAAACATAGGTCTCCTCTCTTCATCAGACTTTTATTTCATTTTGCTTCCTAAGAAATGAATAACATTTTTGCATAAAGACCCTTACTAAGGAAGGAAGGAAACCTTTGTATTAGATAATTGACAGATGATTGTATTTCTACTTAGCTTTTTAAATCTTCCTCATAAAATTTAAGTTAATGAAAGTCAAAACAATAATTTCTTTGATTTTTTTAATAGATGTAGATGAATTTCTCTGTTAAAATTCATCGTTCCCTTTGGGTCAGTTGTTGGTCTCTAGGAAACATTTGCTTGAAGTACTGGAGGGAGAAATAATATAATTAGTATTAGGAAGAACATACTAATAATTTTTCAGAATTACCAAATTCTAAGCATATAATAATAAGAAATTAGTGTTTATTTTTCATGCTTCTGTACCAGAGAGTTGACATTTTCTCTAACTTGATTGTGGATTTCAGGTTTGCAGTAATGAGCTGAAGTGTGTGTGTAACAGACACTGGATAGGTTCTGACTGCAACACTTACTTCCCTCACAATGATGATGCAAAGACTGGTATCACTCTGTCTGGCAATGGTAAGTACTTAATTTGGTACATTATGTACTCTTTATACACAAAGAGAAAACTGCTCTCTGAAAACTTTTATTTGAGTTATTTTTGTGATAATCAGAAATACATTCTCATAATAATGAGGTCCATTTTATGAAACTGAATATGTCCATTAAATTGTAATGATATGTAATATTGTGTATAACTTAGTCTATTTGATTTAGCTTTATCTTGTCCTGCTTCATTCTGAGATTTTTTGAGTATTATACTTGTCTGAAGCTGTCAGTAAACCCTAACATTTCTTTCAAATGAAGAAAGTAGTCATGACTCTTAACTGTGTGCAATTAAAGGAAGCATTTTATATTTTTGAACTGAATAAAAAGGAACAATTAAAGAATTGGTTTTAAAATATTTTAATATTCTTTATTATAGAAGCTCATTGTTGTTCAATCCCAGTTCTGTAACCTGAACTGGCTGCGGGTGGTAATCCTGGCCAAGGTTCCTGGAGGGGCTTTAAGAACATGGATAAGAAATAACAGGTGCAGTCCTAAAAGCTAGGGTGGCCCAAGCTGGGGTATAGAAATCAAATGCAGATGGTTCAAAGAACTCATACATTGGAGGCAAATGTCCCCTTTTAAACTATTTAATCATTTCATTATTGAGTATTCTTTTATACAAGATAATGCTCAAATCCTGAAGTTCATTCACTCTCAAAGGATGAGAAAAAAGGAGTATGTTCATTCTAATAATCTAAACAGTTTTAGCTAATATGACTTTTATAAAGAAAATCATAGGATGATTAAGATTTTAGAGTCCCTAGTCTTAGCAATGGTAGTGTGGAGTTTGTTCCGGTAATTAATTCAAAGGCAGTAATATTTAGGCACATGGATTTCAATGACATGTCAAAAGCCATACCATTACTTAGAAATAAACAAGACTAACATCTAAGTTTATTGATCCCTATTAAGTCCCTGGAAAAAAGGAAGGGAAGACAGACATGCTAGGTCTTGGAGTAAGAAAACTCTAGTGACCCAAGAAATCCTCTGGCATCTGCATCTGTGCATCCCACAGAGGACCTGGCAGGTTGGACTCCACTAGTCTGCTCACATGGCCTAGCCCTGCTGTCTGGCATGAATTCTGAGGGCTCCTAGACAGAGAGACTGCCACTCCTATCATGGAGAATTGAAGTCTTCTCAAGTAGCCCATGACTCCTGACCTTTGATGTGTAAAAGGATGCCTCAAGAGTGGAGCAGACAAGGATGGATCTAAGCTGCTCTGGATGAAAGCTCTGCAGTTAACCATGTGGCATAAATCATTATCAGCAAAACAGGCCTTCTGGTGTCAGAGCCAGGCCTCATTCAGATCAGCCTTTTCTGCCTTGGAGCCCTCATTTGAGCTTATCGACCAAGCCTTTGACTCATGGTGCCATTCTGCTGTGATGATCCCCTTAAAGATTATATCTCAGCCTGCCTGACAATGGATATTGGCACAACAATGCCATCACTGTGTTCTGAGCTTCAACCCTGCCCTGGATTCTGCCTGCCTGTCTCTCTGCCAGTGTGGTGCTGCCTCCCTCTCCTGCCACTTCAGCTCCAGTCCTCCAGCTCACTCGACTCTTTTGTTCCTCTGGATTTTCCTTCTCTAGAATGCCATAGCCATCATTGCCCAGACGGGGAATTACAAGTCCAGTGTTTTTATCACCTACACTACCTGGGCAGTAACCATACAAGTCTGTGGACATGTTTTCTCCCTTAAGAAGCTTATATTCACTTTGAGAGAAACAAAATACAACACACATACAAAACCGAGAGCAATAAGGACCTTGCATTAGTTGTCAAAGTGGAGTGATATGCACAATAACATTTCTAGAATTTCTGAGAAAGAGGTAAGGATCAAAAGGAACACAGGTTTTCTCCCTGTTCCTCCCTAACTGTCATCACTCTTCCCTCTTTTAGTTTAATGACATCATGGTTTCTGGAAAATACAACTGTGCAAAATGCACTTGGACAAGAATTAAAAAGGACATATACCAAACATTATTTTTAAATCAACTGATGTAGATTGCTGAATTATGGTTGATTTTTTCTTTCCTTTGAAAAATACCCATTTTTGAAAACAAACAGTCTTGTTAGTGTGATGATTACAAAACTGAGCAATAAAGTTTCTGAAAGAATTTTATACCACTGATCTTCCTTCTTTCTTTTTTTTCCTCTCAGGTGTTGCTGGCACCAATATCATAATAGGCATAATTGCTGGCACCATTTTAGTGCTGGCCCTCATATTAGGAATAACTGCGTGGGGTTATAAGTAAGTGAAATGTCTCAGTCTTGTTACTATCGAAATATACTTCTAAACATTTTGATTACATGAAAACATCTAGAAAGTTTTGTATCATTGGTTGAATATACTTGCAATGAAAATCAGCTTGACTCAGCAGCCAGTCAATGCTTATTCTTGGCATGGTGAGAAGTGATAATAACATCATTTTTTTAGATTTCGGGACAACTTCCTTCTATTGTAAAAGGACTGAGTATTATTTTAAAATCCTTGAAGTGAATTGAAGTCAGTCTAAATTTTTAAAAGCTTCTAAGTTGTAACTTTTGAAGAGAATTTGATAGCCTTAAACATTTTGCTCAGTAAATGCCTTCAAACATTGTAAACTTTTCTATCTATTTAATGTGTTCAATTTTCTTTTTATGATTTATACAATCTGAAAAGAAATCAGAATATTCAATTTCCTTTTTAAGTGCTTTAATCCCATGATGTGAAAAGTTTCTTTGTATTCAAATAGCTAATTTAAGTTTAATAAGTTAGAACTTAAATGTGATGAACCTTAAATTTTCTTTAATATTTCAACTTAAAATCATATTCTGCTGATCCTTGATGATGTTCCAGTCCACAGGCCTGGGGCTTTTCTCCATTTGGAAGGCCTGCAGCTTGTGCTAGGCATTCTGGGCATTACCTGATTTCATAGCACATTTTTCCTCATGTATCAAACTTAGGTAACTCAAAGTTTTGGGAATTAGAATCAAAAGTTTAGACTTTTGCCCCATGCCTTTTGATGGACTCACCTTTGTTCCTTGAGTTAATATATATCAAACATTCAAAGTAGTACCTGGCCCACAGTAAGCACTAGGTAATTGTTTGCTATGATTATTATCACTTAACAAGGTCTTAAACCAGTTGCACCAAAGGAAACACCTTTATAGTGTACGTGGTAATTGCTTGTGAGGTCAAAACCATGAAAGAGTTTCTTTGGCTAAAAAGGGAGAGCAGTTAGTTTACTGGCAGGATAAGCTTTGTATGCTACAAGCATTAATATTACAGGCATTTGTGGAAGACTGTATATTAACGAGTAGCTTGGAGAGCATAATACAGTTTGACATAACATGGTTGACATGGCATATCATAGTGAAGGAGAGCACAGCATAATAGTAAGCTCTTTCCTGATTAAATGAGCACCTAGCCCTGTACTGTGTGGTCTTCCACAAATTCTTGTATTATTAATGCTTGTAGCATACAAAGCTTATCCTGGCAGTAAACTAACTGATCTCCCTTTTCAGCTAAATAAACTCTTTCATGGTTTTGACCTCACAAGCAATTGCCATATACCCGTATAAAGATGTTACTTTTGGTGCAGTTGATTTAAGACAGTGTTAGGTGATAATAATAAGTTCATAGCTGATACTTAAAACCTATGGGCCTCTTTGGTATGCAGGTTACTGGATATACTTCACCTCAGCGTAACATTTGGAGTTACAAAATCATATATCTGATAGGAAGGCTTTTCTGTTTATCATTTGATTTCTCCTCACACCACAAGCAAATTAGCTGTGTGCTGGAATCACACTATTTCTCCAACTTAATGCACGATTTAAGTAGCAACTGTCATCACAAGCATTATTGTTTTGAAGTAGCTCAGTGCTTTCTTTTGGCTATGTGAAAATGGAAAGAAAAAATTGTTCATTCTGTAGTGTGTGATTTTCTGCCACCTAGTGGTGGAAGTGGATATTTCATTTTTACAATCTTGGAAAAACCTACCTTTTAGAAACCTAAACACTCATATTACTTATTAAATTATATGTCTATTTGCCTTTATTGATTAGAATGAAAATCACCTTTTTCTGCATGTGATTTCTTATTTTTATGGCATTCTTTTGAGATTTGTTCATTCCTGCATATATGCACTTTGCAACTTTAATAAGATCCACATAGTTGGAAACTCATTTAAGTTGGTTTTAGCTTAAGGAAAAAGACAAAACTTGTGTATATTACAGTATCCTCTTTATAAATAATTAGTCCAAGTAGCTAAAGTTTTAATGTTTCTAAAATTATTCAGAATATGTTTAGGAATATAGTGGGAATGTAGATATTTTAAAAGAGGAATTAAATTCATGAATATGATGTTTTACTTATTCTATTTGAAATTTAAAACCAGATTTAGAACCTGAGAACTCATTTTCTCATTAGTTTGTCCAGTTAAACTTTCTACCCCTTCTCCAAGCCTTGGGGTGGAGAATAGCAGGAATGAAAAAAAAGTAGAATGCTCATTTGGAACCATATGGCTCAGGAAATCAGATTGAAGGAATAAAAAGTAAAACATGTTGAATAGAAAGATACCAGGTTTATTTTTCACCCATCTGATAGTTTCCAGAATCAAAAATAATAACGAATTGGCACCTTTGCCGTCATGTGTGTGTTATCAAACATGATATGTATAATGTGGATGAAATAGACTGGCAAGTAAAGATGTTACCAATGAAATCCATGTGAAAACGTTATCCTTGTTCTTAGAGGAAGCAGCCCAAAACAACTCAGTTGCATGACCTTTCTAACGTGTCTCCAAAATACTAACAATTATGTCAAGATAGAAAGTTAGCAATGAACCCCTGAAAAGTCACTGGTACTGTACTACCACACCCTTTAGAGCAATTTTTAAATAAGATCCACTTAGTTGGAAACTCATTTAAGTTGATTTTAGCTTATGGTTAAATAAACACAGAGACTAAACACTGAACAAGTATTTCCAATGTGAAACTTCAGCAAGTAAGTAGTAATCACTTAGGAGATCCTTAACAGTCATCAATTAACTCACTCCTATTTGTCATACCTGATGAAATAAAATATTCTGATATTCATTTATATTCCCCTATTTGAAATTCTTAGGAATAACTATAGTTTGGGGTTTATATCCCATTAGGAATGAATTATAATTTTATTTCTGTGAAAATACAGTTATTTATATAAGTAACGATTCATTAATTTCATTATTTAAGTTAATGTATGTTTGAAGACCTCTATTTGAAATAAGATTTACTTTACAGCAGCGATTGATGTTGAGAAAACAGTTACTCTTTAATGACTGCAGCATATTTATGTTTTTAAAAATGGACAGTTGTTTGACAATATTATCACTGACTCTTTGTCGCTTCTCCTAATGATGAAGTGACATTTTTGTGTGTGCATTCCCATTTTAATTCTGTAATTCAGAATCCTCTAGTGAAGACTCTTCAATGAAAGCTAGAGCTTTTATGTTTAGAGCTCCCTCTTGATGTCCATCCAGAGGTAACTAACTCTGTGTTTCTTCCTCTTTCTCTTCTTGTCCATGAAAAGAAACTATCGAGAACAGAGGTATGTAATAAAAATAATGTGAACATAAAACTGAAAGGTTTGACTCAGATTAGCATTGCTGGAATTCATACATGCAATTTTAATTAAGTTCACTTTGTTTTTATGCTATAATGATCATACACTAATCTTGATTTTTCATTATCTTGAGATAATTTTAATGATGGTGCCATGAAATATAGTAATTTAAAATAGATCTGTCATTTAATTTTAATGGTTCTTTTATCCAACAATACAACAATTAGTGGAGAGTCTTGCTTATTTTTTAATAGTAATATATATAGAAATTGATTTTTTCCATCCAAAACATACTTCCTCTATGGTAAGGTGTCCCATTTGTTTACATTAATGTTAGCTTTTCTTCATGTTTGTAACACTCTTATTGCCTAATACTTTCTGAGGAAATTTGTCACTGTTTTTATATTAATAATATCCATTCATAAGTGACAAAGTTTATTTGGGCAGTGTTGCTGTTGGGAATGTTCTAGCATTTGTTGAGCCTGTTTATCTCTGCATAAGGAATTTTTTTGTATTGATTAGGTAACTGCACATTTAGTTAAAGAAAGAATTTGCATAGTTGGAATAATAAAAATGTCTATATTCTTGAGAAAGTCAGACACCCTTATAGCATAACCTTAAAAATCTGTGCTTAACCAACAGCATAAAAACAGATACAAAACATTCATGTTTTTCTATAACAATTACCTATTTTATCTGAATCTAAATTAGCACATAATATTGAAATTCACTCTTCACTTTTCACACTTAAAAAGTTGCTAGTGCTGTTAGCTATTGATATAAAATATTAAAATATTATCCTGGAAACTGATAACCTAGACCAGGTCTTACACTTGATATCGTTCTATACTCATGGTATTTATGCAGATTCCTATTTACTTAACCTTTTCCATTGTTGAGTTGCATGCTTGTGACAGGTTATGAATAAGGTGTATAAATGTGGTAATTTGTCATGCTCCATCACAACTTTCATTTTTTTTCACAAATCAAAAATTTAACTTTACTCTTTTTTAAATAAATTAAAATTCCCATAAGGCTTTAACCGTAAGTATCTGTAGAATCTGTATAAATACATGGTGCCCATGGGTTACCATTTGAAATCCTGGTCAGTTTGTGTAGACAATAGAAAATATTGACCTTTCCCTAGAGTGACTAACTCATCATTACTGGAAAAAGTAAAACTGGGACAAAATTACAATTTACGAACAACCAGATTTCTTCGTGACATGTTTTAAACTCTTGTGTCCAAAAGCGCTTGAGTAGAGCAGGAGCCGCCGTTTAGGCTTTCTGTTGAGTAGAGGTTGACTGATCGCATTAGAAATCTAAGTTTGCTGAGTTTCTTTAGTGGAAAATAGAATTAGGCAAATAAGATTAAAAAGTTAATGATTCAGCTTCATTTCCACAGGAACTAAGGCTATAATGTAATTTAATATTGCTGAATATATGAAAACAAAAGTGAAATGTCTCATACGTAACATAAGCAAAACTAGCAAAGTAGTCTAAGATATGTTCTTATTAGGGATTCTGTCCAGAATAAGGGAATTGCCTACACTTTAGAAAAATGATTAATATTGAAAAGTATGCACAAATTTCTTGTGCTAACTCAATATGTAGAGAGATATAGTTAAGAACATTTTCACATGAAGAATCTCCTTTATGTGCCTGATATAATTTCATGTCTTCTGGTGTTACTGAGTCATCATTTCATTGATCTGGCTACTCTTTTGGAATCTAGTCAGTCATATTTTGAGAGTTGTCGTATCTTCAGTGGATATTTATTTTATATATTTTGATATATGTCAACACAACCCTTTTTTGTCCTTGCCCATAACTAATGAATATCAGGTTTGTACAGTAGGTCTCAAAGTGGAGAAATAGCAAAGAATAGACTTTAGATAGGAAGTTGTGAATGTATAAGTGTTTTCTAAATGATTTTCCTTTTCGAGAATACATGCTAGTGATTATAGACGAAGTGGTAAGGCCAGCAGACCAAAGCATGCATTAAAAAATGTTCAATCTTATAAAAATATCAATAGACATTAAAGTAAATATCTTCCCAAGTCCAAAATATACCAGGAAGTAAAATTAAGAATTTTGAATTGTTATTGCTTTTAAATTAGGTTTTTCTTTGAGGTTCCATGGTAGGGAGACCAATCCACAAGGAATCAGAAATCTACTAGTATGTGGTATTGGAAAATCAAACTTTCCTCAACTCTGAAATCAAGTAAAGTTCTTTGTAATTTGTAAAGCATTATGGTGACGGGAAGTTACTAGCATGTGGTCTTGGAAGACTGTGTTTCTCTGATCTTTGAATGAAAGAGGTGAATGTAGTTCTTCTCAAAGAGGAGGGCAGCATTCATTGACATGAGTGAGGCTCACACATACTGGTTGAGGTGGTGAAAATGTTGGTGAATGTAAACTTTTGCTTTGACACTAAATGTAAGACATAATAAGTATAATAGCCAGTTGTCAGATTCCTAATACTGTTATAATGGCTCAGAAGTGCCAAACTGGGCGTAACTTTCCAATTCCTGGAGAGGACAGGCAAGTAATTCTGTGACTGAATTTGATAACCAGATACATTTTCTCTCCTGAGAATGGGTCCTGAAGGTTTTCAGTACAGAGAAGGATTATATTCTATGTTTTCTTGCAAGTTTGACCAAAAGATATGAAGCAGACCCATTTTTTTCTTTTTGTTCACAAACTTGGTAATAAAAAGAAACTGGAAGCTGCATTCTGGGGCATAGCGAAGGCAGATCTCCACATATGCACAGCATCAGTTTAAATCTGCCAGTGTCTTATGATGGGCAGAATTGTGGAACAAAGGAGCCATAGCCGTAGACATTAGGTAATTAGAATGATGGTTATATTTATCCTTTTATTTGAAATATTCAGGAAAGAAAACTTCCCCAATTTTTTCAGTTGATGTTATTGTTGATATTATAGCACAATTGCTTTAGGGCTCAGAAGCTATATGACTTGTAGTGAGAATTATAAGTGAATTTTAGTTTTTAGGATAAGTTTGCAAATAGCAATAGAATAAGAAACATTAACTGAACTTAGATACATAAAACATCCATATTTAGCTGAAATCTTACTCTCTTCCTTTGTCTGAGATGAACACACACCATTATGATTGATGAGAAATATAAAAAATAATTAGATTATATCTTTTTGATCTATGGTTTTACTTTAAGCAGAATGCCCTCCCCTTCCCCATTTATTTTCTCTCTCACCTATTTTATCCACTTTATTTTCTGCTTGTGAACTTCCCATCTTTTTTCCAAACCTTTCTTAGTTTGCTTTTATATTATTATTATTTTGGTGATATTCCTGCATCTGTCAGTGTTACTTGGTACACATTATACAGTATTTCTTAAAACGGTAAAGTAACAATTTAATAAGAGACAGCCCAGATGCCAACAAAGCATTGGAGAAATGCCTCCTTCAACACTAAAGTTAAGAGTTGGTTAAATGGTTTTTTCCTCCAACATTTTAAGTATACATAAGAATTATTAAGATGAATATAATTCAATTGATACTTTTCGGCAAGATTAGACTTCTCTCATAGCAGGACTGTTTGCCTAAAGGTTTTGGGGTGATCAAGAAACAGTCTTACTTAATGTTTAAATTTAGAATGTTAACATAACAACTAGATGATTTATAATTATGAACATATTAAGAGTTGTCTTCTGAAGTGGAAATGTTAAACATTATTATTATTATTATTATTATTATTATTATTTTGAGGTGGAGTCTCTCTGTCGCCCAAGCTGGGGGTCAGTGGCATGATCTCGGCTCACTGAAACCTCTGCCTCCCAGGTTCAAGCTATTCTCCTGCCTCAGCCTCTTGAGTAGCTGGGATTACAAGCGCCCGCCACCACACCTGGCTAATTTTTTTGTATTTTTAGTAGAGACAGGGTTTCACCATGTTGGTCAGGCTGGTCTCGAAATCCTGACCTCATGATCCACCCACCTCGGCCTCCCAAAAACATTGTTCTTAAGAGATCTTTAATGAAATTCATAACCTATCACTGACATTTACCATGGGAAGAACATTACATGCCTTCCTCATGGAATTTTAAGGAAAAGCCAGTGAATTTCTATCTTTTGGAGACTTTGCAGTGTGATAGGTAAGAATCTAATCTGTTCAACATAATGAAAACAAGGTGGTGCCCCAGAAGTACATTGAACTGAAACTGACTGAAACCCACAGTTTATGATTATTTAGCATTTAGGGTGTTTGAGCACTGTGTAAAAAATGACCATGGACTTCAGAGAAGTTACATTGAAGGGTTAATAAAACATGTTTAGTTAAAAACAAAAAACAAAATTGGGCCCCATCCATTGGGAACGATAGTCCATCTCCATCCTTAGTGTCAGCTAAGTGATGCCTTGGTAATTGCCAGGATAAATGCCTGAAGGCCAGCCAGACCCATGTAAAGAGAAGGCAATTTGTGGGATAGAATACTGGGAATGGTCAAGTGTAGTTCGGAGCTTTTATATAATAGCTTGTCTTTATCTTTTATTTATTTTATTTATTTTTTGAGACGGAGTCTCACTCTGTTGCCCAGACTGGAGTGCAATGGTGCGATCTCGGCTCACTGCAACCTCTGCCTCCCAAGTTCAAGCAATTCTTGTGCCTCAACCACCCAAGTAGCTGGGCTTACAGGTGTGCGCTGCCACACCCAGCTAATTTTTATATTTATTGTAGAGATAGAGTTTTGCCATGTTGTCCAGGCTAGTCTCCAACTCCTGACCTCAACTGATCTACCCATCTTGGCCTCCCATACTGCCGGGATTACAGGCATGAGCCACCATGCCCAGCCTGGTCTTTAATGGAGTTGAATTTGGTGAGGCACATCTCATCAGTTTATAAAGATTATCAGTAAAGATAGTAGTGATAAATGGGATTTGTTAACCATAGAGATTATTATTGGAAATGTGTTCATGGGATTCCTTTATAAATATTAATATAACACAAAAGGGAAATTTTCTCCCCAAGGCAAAAAATAGAACTCTGATTTTATTGACAGCTTTTTTTTTTCAGGCATTAATGGAATATTTTACTGATACAAGGTAAAATAGAAAATATTAATAAAGATCTCTTACAGGGGAAGATACAGCGGGTGTCATGTAACAGTCTAAATATGAGGTTTTGTATTTTTTTCCTATAAAATTAATGTTTTATATACTGGGGAAAAGAAAGGATAACTATTATGAACTGAAATCATTTACAGAATTAAAAATATTTTGGAGGAATCATATCAAAAAGTTATAGGTGGAATTAATCCTACATTACTAATTTCATGAAAAATTCTACTTTCTTTAGTAAACATAAAAGAGAGTAAATTAAATCACATAAGTTAAAATATATGCTTCATACTGATTGAAAAATCTTTCAGATTCACAGACATGTGTAACTAAATAGCATTAAAATAATATGAGAGTATTCAATCATTCGAGAGAATGAATGACCGTGTATTTTAAACATTTACAACAATATGGCAATAATTTAAGCAAGCAAACACCTGAAAATGGCATTTTGGGGGGATTAAATTCAGCATCAGCAAATAGTCAAAATTATAATGGTAATTAAGGAGAAACCAAATAAGAAAAAGTTAGCAAATTTGTGCTTTTGCTGGAGATTTAATTAAGCATAGCTTTGTTAAAAATTCTCAATTCAGCACTAGTTTGTGGCACCTCCAGCAATAGTACTGAATAGAAAAGAATCAAGTTTTTGATGCAGTTGGCTATTTGGGAGGCTACACCACTGACAAATGACCAGATTAGCTATTGCAGGAGGGTTAAGTGGGGGCCTTATCTAAAAGTTTCTATCTGATTACCTTAGGAGAAGTAATAAAAATCTGTTCCAATCTTGGTTTATTGAAAATCAGATGATTTGGGTCAATAACAGTGCACTACTACTACAGTAGAGATAGAGAACTAAGGTCACCCACCAGCTACCTATAAATATGCTTCTATAGTCTCAACAAAAATTCAGTTATTTTTTTCAACTTTTTCTTGCTCTTGCTAAATTATCTTCCTTCACATATTCCACTGAACAGTTATAAAATTTCCTTTTTGATTTAACTTTGAATCTTTCCATTTCTTCATATTTCTGTTAAATGAATAATGAAGCTCTAAGTTGAACATCAAACTCTAATAGTGATTTGTTTGCATTAAATTCTATAATAGTTTAAAAATCCATCAGTTCTTTTAAGACCAAATCCAGGTTACATTATGTATGTTTAGAAATTATTAACAGTTTATTCACCACAAAGGAAAAAAAAGCTATGCTTAATCTGGGTAGGGACTATCTGTCCTAACACACCTTTGACTTAATTGTTTTTTAAAAAAAGACAAAAATGCACTTAACATTTTCAAGTATAATGAAGTTACCATGAAAACACTTATATTTTCATATTTTTTCCCCAAAGCAAGGCTTTATTCATCCAAACGATAAAGACATTTGTAATTGCATTTCTGGCCTCTACAGTTAGAATGACTTTAACTTGTCTCATTTATTGATAATTTTATGTGTTGTGATAGATTTGATTCATGTAGATCATTATCCCTACCTCTCTTTTTTCCTGAAATAATATTTGTATATGTCTGTGTTCATGTGTGTGTCTTGTTTTCTGACTCTGAAATGTTTATTATGCCTTAGACAGTTACCCCAGGGAGATTATGTAAAAAAGCCTGGAGATGGTGACTCTTTTTATAGCGACATTCCTCCCGGAGTCAGCACAAACTCAGCATCTAGTTCTAAGAAGAGGTCTGCTTTTCTGTCGCATTTTCAGATTTCTACCTGTTCCATCACACATTATTCCATTAGTCAGAACATTTCATTATTTTGCAGCAGGTTTGATTACTTCTTCCTTCTTTCTTGAATGTTAAAAAATAGTATCCTTTGTTCTTTGATTACTCTACTTCAAAATGCCATATGCTCAGAACCACTCATTACACAAATCAGGCCACAAAACCTAAACAAAGCAAACCAACCAATAACTCTGATTCTATATAGAAACCTCAGGGTTTTTCAGTCTTGCTTTATATGGCTTAAGAAACTATACATAGTATTTAATAATATTTAAATGGTGAGCTTTATGTCATGTTTGGTAGTCAAAGAAAAAGGTTACTGTCATGCTTCAATAAAAGCAATTGTTAACTAAATTGGTAATTTAAGTGCTGCATTGAATATTTTTTAATTTTATATATATCAAAGCTAAGCTCGCTATGAAACAAAGATTGCTTCTCTGTGAATCATATATTTCAGTATTATGATTTTGCCTTTTTGGGGGGGGTGATTATTTCTAGACTTTATAAGTTACAACTTAGTTGACAAATTAAGTGTTTTTAATTTTGCCTGAGTTTTATAACAGTACAGGTGGAATTAATATTTATATGTCTTAGACACTGATGCTATATTCTTATTCTAGCATCTTAAGGTATATGACACCATTTAAAATTCTGCATGCTTTGTAACTGCTTAACAAAATAAATAAAAAGAAGAAATAAATAGTTGGCATGATTTAGGAAATGAGACCTATATTCATGTTGAAGGAAGCAAAAATATTCTTATAGAAGAATTTATTTATTTAAAGTTGCCAATAAGAGTGTAATGGACAGGAAAAAAGGTTTGATAGCCCTGCTCATGCCTTTGGGCACATTAACCACTTTGCAGAGTGAAGGGGAAGTTGCTAGTTTATTGAGAGGAAACATGACCTGTTCTGCAGTTCTGTATAGAGTGGATCATCTGTAAATATTCTGTAATGTCTCTCAGTCTTTGTAAACGTTAATCAGGAACGAGAATAGAAGGAATTAGTGAAACCTGGGAACTCTACTTTATGTGGAACTTTCTTAAGCATGAAGGATAGTTTTCACTTAGATAACGTAGCTTAAAGCAAAAGTAGAAACACTAGTTGTCGCCAAAGAAGTATGGTTCTACAGAAGAATGTTTTTAAAAATGTATTATTTTAATTTATGGAGGGCTTGTTGGCTAAGAGCAGAAGACTAGGGTTCTACTTGAATTCTCTAATACAAATATTTTCTTGATAGAATATTAAATTTTAAATTAAATAACATGGTAAATTAGTGGAGAAATTAATGGTTTCCAGCAGAATTTCTGTTGTTCTTTTGTACAAAATATGAGTCATTCTGTGAGTAGCAAATGATGTTGAGAAATTCCAACCTAGGGAATTCATATGGAATAGTTGTGCTGAGTTCCATTTATTTTCAATCATCAGTAGAAAGCTTTTTTTTGAAATAGAAATTATTAACCATCAACCAGAATAATATGTGGAAAAGATTTTTAAGTATAGTGCTATTTTCTAAAGTACCTATGAAAGAGTTTAAAATATCCATTTGAATAATTCGCAGATTTTAGAAAAATCTCAGTGGGTTGTGATTCTTAAGCAGCTAAAAGTTGTTAAGACTTTACTCTGAAGTATATGTAGCTTGTTAAAATTCTTGTGTGGTACAAGGTAGGTGTGTAAATTTTGCTTCTTGTAGATAATTCATTTAAAGATGGTAGGACACAAATAGCAGGTGGGCTCGATGGTACATGGGCTTTGTGAGAGGCACTGTCATGATAAACATCTGATTCAGTTCAGTTATTGAACAATTAGCCAACATGTACTACACTTTTTTGGACCATATTTGTGGAAAAAAATGCCAATTCTTAGAAAATAATTTTATTACTTAAGAAAATCTAAATAATGCTTTGATAAACGTTAACCAGGTTCACTTGAGCAAATCTTTATGTAATCTCTTGGAAGTCCATGTTCTCATAATATTTGAGTGGAAACCATTGCTTTACAATTAAGAAACATCTATGGTGGGACCCCATTATAACTCTGCTGCTGGGGTTATGCTGAAATACATAGTGAATTTGCTCTGTGGTTGCTGCGTTCTGGGGAATGTAAATTGGCTTGCATTGTGTCTTGATACTTTTCATTTATATACTATTGTAATGGGGTTCCATTGTATTTGACTTTTCTTAAATTGGATGTTGTGTAATTCTGCCTTCTTCATGAAGACTTTCATGTTCTCTTCATTCTTTCATTTCAGATTTTTTCTTTCTTGATTTATTTTATTTAATGCACAGTAATGCTTAGAAGTTTTGCTTACTGATCTCAAAACATTCATTTGGTTACATTTTTGAACAATTTATCAATATTTTCAATTTCAGGTCAAATGGGCTGTCTCATTCTTGGAGTGAAAGGATTCCAGACACAAAACATATTTCAGACATCTGTGAAAACGGGCGACCTCGAAGTAACTCTTGGCAAGGTAGAGGCTGGCATTCTGAATCCATCTGTCCACACAATCCAATTTTATATTTTGTGGCCCCTGGTTGTAAAGACTTTTTCATTTCTTGGAAGCTCTTTAGCTTTTCTCCCAACAGAGAGGAGAATATGTAGAATGAGAGCCTAGGTTTTATCTGGATGGGAAATGGTGGGATTCGGCAGCACCAGGACACTATACACTTTGTGAAATTTAATTTGAGAAAGCTGCACAGTGTGAAAACCCAGTGTTCCACAGTGGTGCTGCATATAAATTACACCCACTTGAAATGCCTCGTAATTAGACATAGGGCAATTACTTATTTACATGGAAATCTAGCTCTAAACCATCTTTTTCAGGTAACCTGGGAGGCAACAAAAAGAAAATCAGAGGCAAAAGATTTAGACCTCGGTCTAATTCAACTGAGTAAGTCTGAACCTCTAATGAAAAAAAGGCACTCCAAGGTCCTGTGCGAATAGTGTCAAAAGTAAATTAAGCAGATAGTCAAAGAACTGTAAACCATGTCTTCGGTCTTGGTTTTATCTTTTAAATTCTTTTTTGCCCTTTAAAAATTAACCATGGCTTTTCTCTTTTACATAGGCATCTCCGCAACTGCGCCCATACCAATATTCATTGATAGTGGGGGTCTCACCCTTGCTGCAGGCTTTTTCCTCCAGTCACCTGCCATTGTGGGGTCTTGGTTCTGTATGAAGGGAATTTGATAACATTCCTTTCTTCTCATCATCTGGGATTCAACCATTTCAAAGGGTCACCCTTCCTCTCCCCAATACTCACACAGCCTGTAAGCATCAGGGAAAAATTCCCATTTTACTGGAGCATGATACTGCTCACAATCTGAAATCACCACTATGAGGTCTTCATGGCTGCAATCTAAGCATTCTCTCAGACTTATGGAATAAGTTTCCCTTTTAAATGTTCTATCTGAGAACATTTAAAAGGGCATTTTCCTAAACTTGCTCTTTAACTGAATCATTGTCACTAAATGCGACATTATCCGTTTTAAATGATAGCCATGCATTTACTTTTTTTTTTTTTTTTTTTAAGGGGGATGGGTTTGGAAGTCACATTTGAAGTCATTTATAATGAAGTAAATAATGTACTTGTTTTGTTTGTTTCTCCATTTAAGAAAGTACAAGCAAAACAAAACCTCCTCAAATCTTTATCTCCCTTCATGGAATAAAACACATCCTTAGTATCCTTTTGGACTGAACTTGCCACCCGGTTTTTTTTTTTTTTTACCCATTCTATTTTATCCTTCCTAAAACTTGTTACTTATTTCTCACTGTAGTGATAGTTATTATTTCCAGGATCTCTATTGCTTCTTCACGCCTTAATACTTGGAAAGTCTGAATAGCAGGTATTTGTTAACTGCTTGTCAAAAACTTATGTTAGCTTTTCCATCATATACCCTGCCTTTTTCAGTCCAGGAATAATAACATTGCCCTGAAATTTGGACCTTCCACCTGAATGGTATTGTCTTGTAAGTGGCTTGTCAACATTTACTAGAGGATACTTTATAGACACAATAGACAATTTCAAGTGATACCATTGCATGGTCCAGAATGGCATCATAGAATTCCATCATAAATAACTAATGTGTTAGAGTTTATCTTATCCATTCCCAAAGCACTTGTATGCCTTAGGGCTCATTGTTGATAAACTCTTCTTGGAATGTTGTTTGGTTTGTTTTGCATGAGGTCACCTAGTAAGAGCTCCTTAACTTATCTTAGTTGCTCACAGGTGTACAGATAAAATTGCAAAATGTTCTTTAGAAGTTCCTTGTGTACTGTTTAGTGTTCTAACAGCATTTCCTATAACAAGGCTTCAAAAACTCCTAAGTTAAAAAAAAAATCAGTACTATGTTAAAGCTGTGAGCTTAGGACCGAAAGCACATTTGGTGTTTAACAATATTCATACGATGTTTTCTAGAGCAGTTACTTATTTTTAAAAATGTTATGTATGATTTCCACTCACATTGTATGATTAAAATTGTAGTACTGCAGATAGCCTTTGAGAAATCTTGCCTATGAGATAATTAAATTATAATATTTAATATGACGTTATAATAGGTTCATCTTTGTGAGGGAGAAGTATTAAGGACTTCCTCAGATTTTTCAGACTTTTCTGATTTTGGTTACATGACTCATGTTAATTAAATGGATCCAAGTCTGTAAAGCTGACCACAATTCTCACATACCTTCTTGTACAGGAACTGTCTCTCTATATATACATACGTATATACATATACACACACACACACACACACATATATATTTTCTTACGAGGATTCCTGATACGTAGCATATCAAGAATTATGTTTGCAAACTTTTAATACTTTCCATATTTAAGTAATCCCATTTGCTTCTGATAGTATAATACCATTTGTGTGACTACAAGAGGAACAAATTCACCACAAGTATCTCTTTTATTTTTTCAAATAAGAGATATTTCAGGTCCATTACTCAAAATTCCCTTTAATACCTCATTATTCCAAAAGATGATGAAAAATTGGGATATGAATTAAAACATGTACCATAAATACATGCTCTGCTAATTAACAAAATAAAATGTCCTCATATATTGTATTGTTTTTCCAGTCAAAACTTTTGCATCTTCCTCATTGTTGTAAATGATATAAAAATTTTTTTGGCTTAGACTTTGTATTATATATTGTGTTTTTACAGGAGGGAGCCCCAAGCACCTGAGCCTGGGCACTCCCTCGCCCAGACAGTCCCATCCCAAGGCATAAGCCCAGGGGGCTCTGACAGCCCCCAGACAGGGAGTCTGGATCACAGGTCAGTCTCCACCTGCCCCTTCATTCTGGGCTGCCACTTAATCTCCTTCCAAGTCCTTTCCTTGGCTGAGAACAGGGTCATTTGATCTTTGAGCGAGCCCCCATGTTTGCTTGGAGGTGCTCCTGGTCCAGCCAGCACCAGCTAATTTTCCTTTGCTTTTCCATCCTGGAAAACACAAAGAGCTCCCCTATCCCATCTAACGCATTTTTTTGCATGTTGCGCTATATGCCAAGGCAAGCCACATAGGTAGATTTACTGCAATGTGATAAAATCCCATCACTTCAGCTGCCATGACCTTGAGATGTCAGGAAGCTCACCGTGAAGACATTTTCATGGCCAGATCCCCAGAAAGAACACAAAATTGAGAGTTCTTTTCAGTGAAGAACTCTATGGTGAAGTGACCACAGCCTTCTGAAATGCTCCCTGAAACAGAAAAAAGTCCATCAAGTGCAAGTCAACCCATGTTGTTGTAGCATTCATGGAATAGCTGTGGCAGCAGTCCTTTGAGTTTCTAAGACTGTCAGTGAAAGGAACAAATGTCTCCTCCCGGAAGTGGCCGTCTGCCTGTGGGTGACTCACTTTGCTGTGTGGCTATGTTTCACCTGATTACAGCTGCATGGGCTTTTTCTACGGTTTTCCCCAGGCCAGAGCATTACTAGCCTTCATTTGTGGCTGCACTTGGCTTTTTGACTTTTTCTTTTTGTTGAGAATCTCAGTGGAAATCTTTATGCAAGTTTTAATTGGCTATCTGTGAAAGCACAAGTTGGCAATGATTGTGGCTAAAGGCAAAACTAGTGTGAGTTGTTTCTGAGTCAGGAGATACTATCTTACCAAAAATGGTTTTATAAGCAGAAAAAGCAACTGAACCCTTCCTTCAGAAGGGAATTTCACAATGCTATTTTGTATAGTACCTCGATTGAGGGAAAGGGCTGTGGAAAAAATAACCTGATATTTTTATGTAATTGGAAATGTAGTCTTCCAGATTTATGAACAGCTCAATAACTAAATATGGGGGAAAGAAGCAAAATGTAACCAAAAATAAATAATGTATTTTATAATTTCCCCTGGTTTGTTTACAAATAACTTATGTTTTATAGAGCTTGAATCTTTATTGTCTATAGTATCTCTAGAAGTTACTTTTTAAATGAAGAAAAGAAAAAAAGAAAACCTCCAAATTCTTCCAATGTGGAATTTGTTAAATCTACATTATTTCACAAGGGCAACTCTGAAGAGGATGTATTTTTGCTTGGCTCCCAGGGTAAAAATCAAAGGAAACTCTGGGGAAAACCAACAACTTAGACCTCCCTACAGTTTTATTACCTTTAAAATTTGCACAGTAATTCTGATGGAAACATTGCCAGATCCATCAGGGAAATGCTAAGTAAGTTCATTATTATTCTCTGGCAGTCATTCACACAATTCATGGTCAGACACTTGGAAGGCAACCTCTGAGGGTTGGTTCCTAATGGAAACAGGAGCACTTTATTTTGGAGTGCACAAAGAGGAGGAAGGAACACTGCAGCTGCTACTAAATTGCTAAATCCAGCTTCGAGATCATGGAGGCCTATTTAGACCACACTTAATGCGCATTGAGGCTCCAGGATCAAAAGAGTGGGACCCTATCTGCTCCTTACAGAGCCAACTGGAACATACTTTCATGTTGACTCCAGCTTGGGATCCTCTATAGGGAGTAAGACAGTGGTCATGTAAAAGCCTTCTTATATTGGAAAGAGAACTTTGTTCCTTTTAATTGTTCTTAGGGTGTTGTATGCCCAAATGCCAGATTGGAATTGCAGCCATCTGAATATTTTCAAAAAGCATCGTTGTCATTTAAAAACCAAAGAGCCAAATGAGAGGTGGCCTGGAAAAAGCCACTTTGGAGGTGGGTGAATGGGACTGCTGACTGTACTGTGATTGAAAGGGAGATTCTAATTCACTTTGGGAAGCCACTGGAAAAGGCTTTCCCAGAAATGTTGAATACATTGTAGAATGCCTTGATTGAGCCTTGTTGTAGCTAAGATTATTCTCATGTCATTGTATAGACTGCCTCATAATCACCCAACATCCATTCTGGTTTATTTGCCATGGTCACTTGCATTTGGAGGGTGAAGACATCCTTGCTAAGCTTGTGCTGTGTATTTTCAGATTTTCTATCTTGTTCTGCTTTCTTTGTTCCTTCCATTGCTTTCTGCAGGTATTTAAACCCATGGTTCAAAAGAGACTATAATGTAGCTAAGTGGGTAGAAGATGTGAATAAAAACACTGAAGGACCATACTTTAGGTATTTTATAAATTAATTTTTATATCCTTCTCAAACTCTCCCAGCACATACAAATACTGTAGTGTGACTGGCTCTCTATCTTGTATCTCCCAATACAAGTTCCTATAGGTGGAAAGGGGTCCTTGTTTATTTGCTGCCTTTTAACTCTGTTTTTGCTTCGTGAGCAAGTCTGGTTCTTTTCTGAATGTTTCAAATAAAGCCATTTGAAAGGGTTGCTGTTTAGTGCATGTCCCTATCACCATCTTAAGCTTTTTAGTAGCTTTCTCTTCATTTTATGCTATGTAGTGTTCTATGGGCATGAAACATACTTTCCACTAATAAAGAAGCACTATTAACCTGAACAATTTAGTTTCTATAATCTAGCAGTTTCATAATGCATTTTTCCTACTTACTGCCTAAGAGTGCATAGTGTATACAAAAATTCAAGGAAAAACGTATAAAGAAACTAAGTGAAATGTGATGGGATTTTACTTGGATAGAAACAATGATTTGGTCTAACTGGAAAATTACTGAGACAACATTGACCCCATGGGAGTATGTGGAATGAGTTTAGGTTTTATTTGTTCAGTATAACCATTTCCTACCAGAGAAAGGCTGTGCTGAGAAGTGTTTTACAGATTCTCAACAAAGCATGTAAGGAATTTTTTATGCTAATAAAAATGTTGTCATCTAATACTTCAAATAGAACAGGAAGCAGCTGGAAATATATTCTTGACTCACAAAATAGAAGAATATCGCTACATTTTAGAAACTATCAAATTTACTCAATTCACTGCAGCTCTGTGTGACATTTACAGGTCAGAAAGAATTTCCAAGAGTTCTTAATGGCATTTTTCACCCTTTCTAATCAAGTGATTTCCTAGAGGTAAATGTCCACTTTATATCTGACTACTTTGTGGACAACTAAGGTAAAGGAGAAATATGTACTCAATTACTACCTCTTCTGAACACAATTTTACAATAAACTCATGTTACTGATTGCCATGTCTTGGGTCAACATTGAACAGATACCAAAATATGTATGTGTTTTTAACTCTCAGCACCCATATAAGGTGGACTCTCTCTTCCAGTGTACCATTTAGTTTAGTTATGTATAGTTTGAGAAAATGATTAGACCTACCTGCCTTTTAATTCGATCCATAACATTTGCATACGCCCCAAGGAAAGCATAACTCCTGCCTGCTCATAAAAATGTATCCTGCTTTTATACCCCATCTTTCCCTCCTACCCTGCCCCTCTGCTTGTCCAACACTTTCCCACACTGAACCTCATACACATACACTCACATTCAAACATCCCACCCTCATCTGTAGCTCCCAAGATGGCCAACATCAGGAAGACAGGTAAGATGATTTTGACTGTTATTTGGAATCTTGGCTCACCTGCAGTCCTATTTCTCCTTTCTATTTTCCTCAGGCTTGTGGGCAGATTGTAATTTGTACCAGCCATGGATCCAAAACAGAATGACTTTGGTCCTATATGGGTTAGGGTTTTTATTCCCAAATGGATTTAGCATTTTTGCAGCAATAATTTGTGAAATGGTACCCCGGAAGAGTTGATTCACCTCCCCTGGGTGAACTGAGTAGTTTATGTGGCTCTCAGAGAAAGAGGTCACGTTTCTTAAAATCAGCACCCAGGTCTGCCCAGAAGCCGCATGACTAAATGCAATTTGGATGGGGAAATGCTTTAGCACCCCGGTTGCACGTGCAAAAAACTGCAAGGACAATTTTAGAGGGTTCCTTTATTTTCTATTCTAATATGAGATGTTGATTCCTACAGTAGATAGTGAAATTAAGAATTAATTGTTAAGAATCATGTTTATGTTTAAAGGTTAAAGTTCTGTGGACAGTTATAATTTAACTCATTTTTGGGTTAATACAGGTGATAAGATTTGAAATTCAATACAGCATTTCTGTGGTGGTGGTAAATAATTGACATGGCCCAGAACGTTTAACACAGTGATTCTAACGCAAGGGACAATTTCATCCACTCTCTATCCAAGCCAAGCCTCACATAGGAGCCCCAAAGTGCTTCCACACCTTGGCTTGTGCCTTGCCAACTCTATGTTTAGGCTCAGATCTGCTTCATCTGTGGCCAGGTCATTCAGGATTACCCTTCTTGTCAAAATCACCAGTGAGGGCAAAAGTCACCTTATTGTTTGTAGAGATGTGATCTCACCATGTTGCTCAAGCTGGTCTCAAACTCCTGGGCTCAAGCAATCCACCTGCCTCAGCCTCTCAGAGTGCTGGGATTACAGCCATGTGGTGTTAGCTTTGTGGCATCCTTATCAAAATGCAATCTGCAGCAAACTGGTTCAAAATATAGTCCAGCATTTAAAATATAGTAGCCACACTGCTAGAGAGAACAAGGCAAATGCCTAAATAGATATTGAGTGATGAGAGTGCCTCTGCTGTGCCCCCTTATCCAGTTTCGATATGACAGTGGTTGCTCAGATTGTTCTCTACATGAATTCGGGCCACCAGGAAGAAGCAAGTGAGATCAGGACAAGTGCATTATCTTGCCACACCCAGATCCTGGATGCAGTTCTGTTATAAGCTCTCAGAAGGTATCCTTACTCTCAGGTATTATCCCATTGATTTCTCACTTCATCAGGGTTTTCGAGTCCACTTCCATGATTCTATGGAATTTTTGGTGACTCTGAAAGAAAATGAATAATTACAACTATCGTGTATTAAGTGCCTATGAGATATCTTTATTCCTCACATCCTAAGGTGTAGGCATTCTTATTACCTTTCTGTAGATGGAGGAAACTGAGGTACAAAGAGTAATTCAAGGTGGCACAGCTAGTAAGTGTCAGAACCAGAACTAGAGCCTGGCTCTGAATCCAAAATCTGTACCTTTTCCATTTCACCTTAATTAAAAGTAGCAGAGTGGATACTGATGACTTGAATCCTCCCTTAGTACACTTAACAAATTCTCCTGGATCTAGGCCAGGCATGATGGCTCACGCCTGTAATCCCGGGACTTTGGGAGGCCGAGGTGGGCGGATCATGAGGTCAGGAGATTGAGACCATCCTGGCCAACAGGGTAAAACCCCATCTCTACTAAAAATACAAAAATTAGCTGGGTGTGGTGGTGCGCGCTTGTAATCCCAGCTACTTGGGAGGCTGAGGCAGGAGAATTGCTTGAACCTGGGAGGCAGAGGTTGTAGTGAGCCGAGATCACACCACTGAACTTCAGCCTGGCAACAGAGCGAGGCTCCATCTCAAAAAAATAAATAAATAAAAATAAAATAACAAATTTTCCTGGATCAACCTACTATAAAACTCACATATGAACACAAGTGAGTAAGAGTTGGACTTGTGTCCCTCTCCATGTGACTGGCCTGGTTTTTAGCCTGTCCGTGGGTGCAGAACTGAACTGAGGTTGGCCTTACAGGCATATATACAAAAGGTAATCCCAGGAAGTTTGATGTAGCCCTAAGAGGCACCACAATCCACTGGCACACAAACATACTTTTATTGTGTAATTCTAATAGGGTATCCATTATGGTAACTATCATTTTTAAAAATACAGTAATGGGCTGGGCGGGGTGACTTATGCCTATAATCCCAGCACTTTGGGAGGCCAAGGTGGGTGGATCATTTGAGGTCAGGAGTTTGAGACCAGCCTGGCCAACATGGTGAGACCCTGTCTCTACTAAAAATACAACAATTACGCAAGTGTGGTGGCACACTCCTATAGTCCCAGCTACTCAGGAGACTGAGGCAGGAGAATCACTCCAACCCAGGAGGCAGAGGCTGCGGTGAGCGGAGATCACACCAACTACACTTCAGACTGGTTGACAGAGTGAGACTCCGTCTCAAAAAATAAAATAAAATAAAATGCAGTAATAATAATGGTTGACTTGTATCCAGTGATGCACTTTACTTTTTAAGTGAATGAGCTGTGCTGGTGCCTGGCTTTAGGTGAAAGCCAGGCTGGAACTGCCAGGCAAGTAGTCAATCAAGGTCAGAAAAGAGCCTGGAGATAGTTTTGAAGAAATGTCTTCCTTAGACATTTGTGAGACATTTTGAGTTTATTTTCCCTAAAGTGTTTTACCCTATCATGGCATCTAGTCCTGTTTTGACTCCTGCTCTGGTGCTCTCCATCCCCCCAAGGATAATCAGTTTTATGCTGCCACATACCACCCAGCCTCCAGGACCCTTTCCCCTGCTAAAACTTTCCTGCTGGGCTTCTCTTCCCCTCGGGGTCCAAGATGCCAATTAACAAGCATGTTATTATTCTTTACTTCTGTTTTGACTCCCGCTCTGGTGCTCTCATCCCCCCAAGATAATCACTTTTATACCCGCCTCCAGGACCCTTTCCCCTGCTAAAACTTTCCTGCTCAGCTTCTCTTCTTCCCCTCAGGGTCCAAGGTGTCAATTAACTAGCGTGTTAAGAAGAAGTATATGTGCAATTTCTTTGGGGTTCTGGAGAAAATCTCCTATTTTTGTTCTAACTTAATTGGCTTTGCCCATAGGAAGATATTTGAGGGGAAGACTGGACCTTCAGCACCCCTCATTGGAATGGCTTTGTACATGTTCCAGGCTGGTCATTTGGACCCATGGCCAAGCATTCCAGCTTTAAGCTGGAATGACTGTGAAGCTAAAAGCTAATAGCTAATGGTGTGGACACACATGCTGCAGCAGATTAAAAAGATGCCTCATTTTGCATGATCCCCTAAAGTAAACAAGATTTAATTATTTGTTTGTGTACCTTACTAGCTTTCCAAAACTTGGATATTTTATCAGTAGTGATTAGGCTAAAAAACTGATGCCAGGTTAACAGTCTTATTTTAGAAAGATGCATTTAAATATCTAAATGCAGAAGTTTGCCATCATCTTACATGTACCAAATTTGTTTCTTGAAGATCATAGTCCTATTTAAAGTGTTTTTCTAAAATAAAAAAATTAATTTCTCAATTAAAAAATATGAAGTAGTACATTGCTTTAATAGAACTTTAGAGAATTTGAAGTACTAGTATTAGTTACATCCATCCACTCCGCAATGAAGAGCATTAACATAGGAGAAATCAAAGAGCTGCTGTGTTCTAAGCATTCAGGCAAAGGAGTGGTCCTAGCCATTTTTCAAAAGTAGGAGTTACAGATTAAAAGTGAATTGTACCATTCTTCATTCTTAAAATCTATCAAGAATGTTCACTACTACTATCTTTGGGTGTGTAGGAAAAATTATTTTCAAACTTTAGTTTGAATTCAGTGTCCATAAAATGGAAATTAGTATGAAAACTATGGCAGAACCAGAGCAAAGGATAATGTATGCATGTAAACCAAAATTTAAAACAAGGGAGGAAAAAAGACACCTTTATGCTATTGAATGCAGCCTAGACAGTAGATCTTGACCTACCCAATGCTACCCCCACCCCTCCCAGCCAACATTCCCAGGCTGGGTCAGTCACAGCAGATGAGGTACATTCTACTGAAATAAATACTTCTGCTGTAATGTGGCAGTGTAACCAGTTCAGCAATGTGGGTTTTTACCACCTTGCACCAGGGATTAAGGAGCAGTGGATGTGTAGTGGTAACGTTTGTGAATGGAATAGGTACTACAGTTATCACATCTGTTTTTCATTGATATGTTATGAGTAGACATTTTTTACTCAGCTGTTTTTTTTTTTTTCACTTTAAAGACAAGTTAGCAATAGATATGGGCTTGTCTAGTATGTTCACCTTAGTCACAAATTACCACTACACATGCAAAACCAATCAAGTACAGCATAATACACCAACGGCTTACATAGAAATGCTGATGGTAGGGACTAATTAGACCATTTTTGTATGTTCTCATCATACTTTGTTTGGCTGGAACTCTGCACTCCTTACTGCTTGCATGTTTACTAATTTATTAAAAGCCCTGTATTTGCCTTTGTTCCTTCACAACTAACACACTGGCCTCTGAATGCATGAGTGTTGTGTAAACTGGTGTGTGATTTAGCAACTAATAAATATATCAATTGTAATGAATTTTGAGATCTTAAGACAAAATTGGAATTATTGTACTTAAACATTTTTACATTAAGTGGTAAAAATAAGCACAATATTAATATTTTATACATGTAATTTACCATTATAAGCTCTTAGAATAATTTCATCCCTTCTCCATTTTAGCTTTTTATCTATTCTATAGGATACATTTTTAGTGGCTTGTAGTTTAAAAGTATCATTCTATGTACTAACATTTAAATAATCCATCGCAGTCATGAAATTAGGAAGATAAAATTGCAGCTTTTCACTATTGAGAATGACAGAATATCTTCCCAGTAGTTAAATCTTTGCAGTAGTGGCATATGAAAGTTAGAAGTCAGAGGGTTTGTTCTGAACCCACTTTTCAGATATTTGAAAAATGTTAGGCAATCACATGATGTTTATTTCATGTTCTCAACATCTCAGGACTTTATCTCCTGCCAAGTCTCCTTCTTCATCCACTGGGTCTATTGCCTCCAGCAGAAAATACCCTTACCCAATGCCTCCACTTCCTGATGAGGAGAAGAAAGTGAACCGACAAAGTGCAAGGGTATGTGGAAACCTCTTTCATGTGCTGACATGCTCAGTCATTATCATTTATCTATGAGTTTATAAAAGAGAGAATCATTTTTCCTCCCTTGTTCCTAAGAAAATGAAAAAATCAAACTTGAAGATAAGGAGATTCTTGGGACTTTGGGCTTCAGATTTATATTTGCAAATAGTTCAATCTACATTGATATAGCCTAGATACATTTTGTGTAATTAATTGCTCTATATTTATATATTATTATAGCTAATATAGTAAAACCTTGCGTAAACAAAACACTGTATTTTTCTATGTCACCTTTTACATTTTAATCACACTGCCACTCTGTCTCACAACATTCCTGAAACATATCAGTATGTAGAATTGGAGATACAGTGGAGTTTAGAGAGGCAGACTGGCCCTCAGAGACTTAAGTGAAAGATACAACCAAAGAATAATTACCTTTATTGATGTCCAGGCTCTGTTGTGGTCATTTACACTGTAATGTTGATCTTCTTAGAAATAATGTTGCAAAAAAATAAAATAAAGCTTATAAGCCTCGGCAGTGTTAGCTGCTGGTTAGACTTTTTGGTCTTAAGAGATGTTTCAGAATCTCTTTGATCCCAAACCTAAATTATGTGGTTCAAGGTAAACGTGGATCATTCAAATTTTAATTTAACTCAGAGTCAGTAAGAAGGCACAAATAATTAAAAGCTGTGTAGATCACTATAATCCAAAAGTCTTTAAAAACTACCAGCAGTGTTTTGTTAATAATAAAAAATTACCATTGTATGTTAATATGAGAAATGGTAAAAGATAACAAGACAATTCAGATTCCCAGCACTCAGCTTTCTGAATTAACAGAAGACTTCTTGATAGATATCTAGTTGTTCATGATGTCATGTGTGATAATGAAATCTGAGACTGATGTCATTCCTGCTCTCCTCAAAGAATTGCCTAAGTGTAGCACCCGACTTTCTTTCTGCTAAATTGTCTATATCCCTGTTTTGCTCCATCAAGTTAGGGACATTCCCTCAGCTGTTGTCGTGTCAGAGTTTGGGTTATTGGAGATGTTACCACACAAGAGCCTGTAAAAACGATAGCTCTCCAGAAAAAATGGCTGGCCCATGGCCCCTTTCCTGGGCTGAGCAGATGACTACAAAGACTCTGGCTGCTGCGATTGTTACGTGAAAGGTCTGATTTGTTCTATGCACTGTGGAACAGCCACATAAGCATGTGGCAGAATCCTACCAAATACACAGCCCCTATCATTGGGATGTCTCTGTGGGCTGTGGAGAGTGGAACAAGCAGATCTTCCTATCAGCAGCCCCTCTGTTACCACCACATAGGTGTGGGCCAAGACATGCCTCATGCTGAAAGTGATGCTTGGCAATTGCTCATTTTATCCCACTGGGGTAGTCATGACATTCAGGTTTTTCCCAATGTTATTCATTTGTCCCTCCCTTCTTTCTCCTTTCTGTCACATATTATTTTTAATCTTTATTAAAAAATATTGAGGAAACTTCAGCTCTCCAAGGCCAGAGTCTAAACCCTTTAGCCCTCCAGACTATCGTCTGAGCATCAATTCAGATCGTCTTTGCTCCAGACCCACCACAAGCCCCATTTAACTCCTCTCCACCACCAGTGTCACCCATTCACGAAGATCCCCACAGTTCAGATATTCATTTGGTTTCCAAGGGGTTGGCGTCTTTTCAATAAAAAGGACATATAAAGCAGACCTAAGGTAGATAGGATGGTGGCTTTACCACAGTCCTGTGGGGTAGGCAGACTTGGGCATTCAGAACAAGATTTCCATGAAGATTTGGGAGAACATATTAAGGGAACCTGTATAGAAACATCTACTTAATCACTTGGCTTTTTCTGCTTTTTCTTTCCCAGAAACTCATTATATATACAGTGACATATATCAAATGTCCAGTAAAAATGGAATATGGATGGAAATTGGATACAACCTAAGTCACTCTGGTCATAGGCTTTGTTTATGTTTATAATAATTACATCTAAATTATATTGCCTGGAAACATATTTCATCAGCTTGATCTTCTTTTTAAATTGGTCTTCCTTTTCTGGTGAACTGAGAGTTGCATTCATATCTGATCATGTCACACTTGTTATTAGTTCATTAAGGTGATTGCTGAACATTGTGGAAATTCGATCTGAATAGGGCCAATATAGAGCTCATGGCAAAAGCAAGGAGAGGGTAGGAGGGACAGCATGAATGAAGGGACATCCTGCCTTGAATGTATCATTCCACTGTGATACCTCAGCTCATGAGAGATAACCATTTTTAAGGAGGTAGTGATAGAATTGGAGTGTATGGCAGTGATTTTCAAGTGGGTGATGGTGGAATTGATGGAGTCACACTTCCCCGATGTCAGTGGTTTTCTGTTGTGGCTGCACAAGGGAATCATCTGCAAGGCTTTTAAAATATTCTTACACCTGAGTCCCACCCAGAGAGGTTTTGATTTAGTTGATCTGGTGTGCTGCCTGGGAAGCGGAATTGTAGAAACCTCCCCAGATTAATGTAATGTGCAGCTGAGGTTGAGAACCACTGCTCTAGCTGGCTGTCTTGGAATCCTGGGGAAAGGAAGGGCATGTATAGCTAAAAAAATAATATTTTAAATTCGTTTATTTCATTTGAGACACAATATTTATTCAAAATTTTAGTAACATTAAATGAGGATGTGATGGTTTTTGTATCAAAAGATGGCTGTTGTTGAAAAGGTTGAGACACAGGTTTTGAGGAAAGAGAGAGCTAAAAGTTGGAGTGTTTATTCTATCCACTTTTTAGACTTTGCAAGAGTGTGCATCCACAGTCACATATGTGTGGATGGAATCACTGAATCTTTTTCATCTCCTACTCAGAATACATCTGCTTCCTGCTTTCACAATGTGCAATTTTGCTCTTTTCTGTTGTGCAGCTATGGGAGACATCCATTTAAGATCAACTGTTTACATGTGATACATCGAAAACTGTTTACTTCAACTTTTATAGAAATCCAGGCTCATGGAATCACTGCAAATCTATCTGCTCTTCAGACAATACGAAGACCCTCTGAGATGCTACAGAGGAGAGGAAGTGGAGTCTCACATCTGGTTACCATTTTCTTTTTGTCATTGGCTTAGGGTTTAACTGAATCATGAAAAGAACTACTGAAATGTTATACTATAACATGGAACAATAAAGGTACTGGTATGTTAACAGATAATCCGCATGACAGATAAGATGTAGAAATATCCATAAAGTTAACTCACATGACCCAAATGTAGCAAGTTTCCTAAGGGACAATAGTGGATTCAGAACTTGATGTTCTGAAGCACATCCTCACTGTAAACAGTAATGCTATATGCATGAAGCTTCTGTTTATTGTTTTCCATATTTAAGGAAACAACATCCCATAATAGAAACGAGCATGCAGGGCTAAGGCATATAGGATTTTTCTGCAGGACTTTAAAGCTTTGAGAGGCCAATATCCCATAGGCTAACTTTAAACATGTATTTTAATTTTTGTTTTGTTTTTTACTTTTCATATTTATATTAGCATACAAGGACAATTGTATATATGTAACATTTTTTAAATTTAAAAAAATGCAGCTGTTACACACAAGTGTATTTTGCCAAATGCCTAAAAATTCAGTCACAATCACATCATCGTCATCCATCCAGTGATCTTCAAAGACTATAAGCAGGTAATGTAAATATAGTGGTCAGTGCTGTAAATGTGTCTCTCCATAATTGGTATTTGTCCAAAACATGTGATGTCCCTTTAACCTGTGCACAGTCTGGAGGCGCAGTTTTATTGAGTAAGTAATTGAGTGAGAGAACTAAATGCCCAGCAAAACTTCTGGCCTCCACAGTTTGCTGATGCAGGAGCCCACTCTGCTCCCGATTGGCTGCTCCCTGGACATCATCCATCCCATCCATCCATCCCATCTCATCCCAGTGAGCCAGCCCCTCAGCAATGTGTCCTGCTGAGATTAAGCAAGTGCACCAAAGACACATGAGACCACGTACTGCCAGTGAGCTGGTAGCTTCTGACTTGCCAATACTCTAACCCTTTGTGGCCTGAAGTTTTGTTCCTTGACAAAACTTTTCAGTCACCCTTATCTGTGAAATGAATGACTTGTTTTAACAAAAACAACTTTGACACTATTGATTAAGAATATTTATCATCACTGGGATGTGAATCCCAACAAGTCATTCTGTACTCACTCTGGAGCAAGATGATGGAAGATTCTACTGTTTGAGTTGGGTAGCCTCAACCGTTCATAAAGGGTTAAGTTAGATCTAAACCACAGAGATGCAGCAACTGCAGAGCTACACTAACAGCTGGCAGGGGGAAAGAATCTGATGCTTTGAACCATATATTTTTTAATCCATAGGAAAATAGGATTCTATTTTAAAAGACCCTTCTTTAAAACCAAAGTTTGATAACTGTTATAATGGCAGATCTGTCATTCCAAAAGAAAGCTAGCTACCCTAGTGAGGCTGGAGATTGATGGGCTCAATCACATGGTCTGCTCTGAAGTAGTATACTTCTGATTTCCTAATTTTCTGTGTGTTCTTAAGAGGTATGGAACCTGCAGACAGGGTTTCAGAAATAATCTCTAAATTTGATCCTCTTCCATAGTATCCATGGACAAAATCCATATCATCTTCATATGTAATCAAATTGATTACATATGATGCCCAAACTGAAGGGCCGAGTTAGAAGGCAGCATTTTGTGCTTTGTGTTTATGTCTTCGGTAATGGACCTCTCTTTTGAAAGTCTTTGAAATGGTTGGAAAACAATTTAATGATCCAAAATTACATAATGTAAAACAGCATTTTTCATGACAGGAAGGGATGTGATTGTTAATATGACCATAAAGCGATCCATCAGGCCAAGGTTTGGGTGAGTGTTGGGCACTGTTGCCACATAGCTCAAGCCAAGAACAGAAGGGCAGACAGATTGAAAGATGTAGCAAATAAAGTGACTTTTTACCAAGATCACTGTAACGTGCACTGAATGTTTCCTGGTATTGAGTGTATAAAAGGCTAATGCTATAAGGTTTATTTTGACTATAAAAGAGTTTATAGATTTGAATATAAGGTGCCTCATGTAAATATGCTTCCTAGTTACAGGTACACAAACTCTAATTTGAAAGAATCCACAAACGGCTAGCTGAGAAGTTAACAGATCTCTGTCTGTCATCCATCCATGTGTCTTTCTTCCTTCACCTCAGTTATTTTTACATGAAATTATTATTTCAAATGAAAATCATTATCATGTGCCTTTTGGGAGACATGGTTGCTCTAGAGGTATATAGTTTGTAATTACCCTCCTTGGAAGCTCCACCTTCCTGTGGAACTGAATAAAAATTTTTATGTTTTATTTTTAGAGATTATGATTTTAGGTATACAGTAACTTTAATGTTCTATTCTTGGAATCTACTCTATCTCCCATGTTTAAACATTCTTAGAGCCATTTGTGGGATTCATTGAAAAATTTATAGTCTCAAGGGAGAGTTTCAAGAAGTATCTGTATATATACTCATGTTGGGGTTCTAGAGGCATTACATCTAAATATTTATGACTTTTCATCCACTGAGGTAGGTAGCATTAAATATACAAGCACAGCATTATTTCTCTTTAAATAACTATTTTGAAGAGAAACTTTGAGGCCATATAACAGTTTATATCATGCAACTAATATTTATATTTCCCAATCCACTACAAAATCATTGCTAAGCAGAAGAGAGCAGTTATTTGGCCTTTATGTTTCATTGTATGCCTTTTCCCCCTCTTTCTAAAGTTTTATGCATTGATAAGACTGCAGATTGGCACCCAGCTGCCCGAGATGTTCCATTTATCCATAGTCGTTGTAGTGCGATCAACCCTGATTTAAAGGAACATTTAAATCTCTCCAGTAAGTGTCAACAGGAAGGCATGGGATAGCAGGGAGTCCTTATGGAGTGGACTGGCCACATGAACTGTCCTCTGCATCCAGCCACTCTTTATTTAGATGGGAAGTGGCATGGTCCTCTGAACGCTACAGGCTGGAAATGATCCCCAGGGCACGTGCAATCTGTGGAAAGGAATAAATCAGACAGTGCAACATGATGAGGGCTTTCAATTTGCTGTGGTTGCTGTATTTTTGACAAGAAACCCAGAGCTTCGATTAGGAATAACCTATCAGAGTTGTTCCTTTAAAAAATATTGATGAATAAAGCAAATGTGGGCTTAAAATGCCAACTTATTTTTCACTTTGATATTGGTGCTTTATTAAGTGATGCCATAGTTTGTCTCTTTTCCCTCTCACTTTAAAAAGAATTTTAAAATTGTGTTTGTATATAAGGTCAGTCCGGCATAGAATTTCTGAAAGTAACATTAATAGGGTTTCTAAAGAAGTTGTCAGAAAGACAAAAATTAGATATTCTGTGCACTTTCCGAGAAGGACTCTTTATGTTTGAATTTCAAAACAGGCTTACATTTCTTTTCTGTTGATTCCCTTGCATATCTACATAATTTAATCCTGTCTATTGTCCCAGATCTCTTATGGCTACTTTACCTGTTACCTTTTTTGGAATTTTGTTCTTTATGTTTTACAGTTACCTTTGGACCAGAAGATATATGATATTTTTATTCATTTTTTTTCAGTGTTTTAAAATAAGGTTTGTTCATTTTATCCATTCATTTCCTATTGTCATGTAGTTCTATTTTAACCATATATATATAGTACTTTAAATAAATTTTCTTATGTTATTATTTAACACAATAATAAATCTTTATCTAAATAAAAGACTATTTTACTTTATTTTACTTAAAGGAAAGATAATTTATTGGCAGGATATTGAGTAGCTTGTAGAGTATATGGGAAGGGGAGAGCCAAGTTAGGAACTGGCAGGAGTGAGGAGGGATGAGACAGCTGCCTGCACAGTCTGATAGGACACATCTGGCTGCTGCCACTGGATGCCCACATGGGCAGCATATCATAAATATCACCCTACCGTTGGCAAGTTGGCATGAATTTTCCATGAAACGCTCTTGACTCCCATTTGCACCATCATATCTACTTTTTATGTACCTAATTATATTTTTCCTTTAACTTTTATGGTTTTTTTTTTCTAAAACTGCCACCTAAATACCTTTCCACTCTGTTAAATGTATGGAGTCAAGATAAATTTCTCATTCTTGCTCTGCAGCTTAAAATGTATAGGAAGTAAACACTTCCATGGAATAGGGCTTAATTTGGGGCTCAGATGTTTTGGGTTTTTTCCTCCTTAGATGTTTTTGAATGGATAAAACTACTCTGGCTTTGGAAGCAGCAACTTTTCTCCTGACCTGGAAGAACTAAGGACTTTGATAAACAGTTTCCCGTTGATAGTATCATATAATGAGCGGCGCAGTCTGCTTTTGTGAAAATTGGCCCAGCGGCAGCAGCCCACGCCAGCTGTGTGTGAGTAGCCCTGCTGTTAAAAGTACACCTGCTGGGAATTGTTGGCACATGCTCATAGCATATGCTCTGGGGGGAGGTGCTTTTAATTCCAAGAGGAGCTTTTCTATCATCTGCAGATGCAGAGCAAAGATGCAGCAGGACTTTAGAAAACAGGAGTGTTTCTATTGACATTTTATTCATTGCTTTGTTAGTCCCCCAAATGGAGAATCTTCTGGTTGTTTGTAAGCAGAAAAAACAAAACATTCAAAACCAAAAACCTAATTAGTACTTTTGTCCTTTATATCCATAGTCTGACAAGCAAGTAAGCATCCTCATGGTGAGATTTTGAGGGATGCTTCCAGAACCGTCCTGCCTCCTATGTAGCTCCCCCTTCAGTAGCTGTGCAACTCTTTCCTCCTGACTAGGAACTTCTCTATTGTGGAAGTCAGTTCCTTTGGCTAAGCTGTCCCTTGAGAGAACCCTAGGATGCCCTAGGGAGTAGAGGTGGCAGGCATCTTTATCTTCGCCCACTGGCACATTAGCAGCTTATGCAACTTAGGAAGTCACTGGGAGATGAGTCCCAAGAGGGTGAATTTCAGGATGGGGAGGAGATAAGAAGCAGAGAACTTTGGGAGATCATGGAGCATTTAGTCCTGGCACAGATGCAGAATGAATATCCACAGGAAGATTCCTGAAGCCAGATATGCAGGAGAGCACACATTGTCACGAGGGGTGTGATGGGAAGAGAGGTGCTGGATGCCTAAGACAGACTTGTGTGCTTGGCAGATTGACTGAGTGTTGACTCTGAATACTTTGTGGTCCAGTCCATGATGGGTCAGTCACTCCTGCCTGATGCATCCCTATTGCATTGTTCATAGAACCTGTATCATATGGGGAAGCTTCAAGGCTGGCAGGCTTTTCATCAGGTAATCATCATTTCATGTTCTTAAGTATCCTTGAAATCAAAACCAGGCAATGTGTGTTTTTGGTTTTGTTTTACAAAAAGGCATACAATGAGACCAATTCCTAAGATAATGCACATACAGAATCATCAATAAAGTTTCAAAGAGTTTATGAAAAAAAGGTATTTTCCTTTCTTGTAAAAAAATGTATTTTATATATATATAATATGCTCATCTGCATTCACCCTAGGGCTTAGCCTCTTGTTTTATGAATTTTTAGGCTGTGATTTGTGTTGGATGGTTAAGCTCTAAAATAATGCAAATAGCCCCAATCTTTAAATATAGCGGTGCTAAGTTGAACAAGTAACACAATACAGAAAATGCTGATATGAATTAATACTTAGTAATAATACAAAAGTTCCTGCTAAATTATATATGTGTATCACTGCCTGATTAGAAACCCCACTTTTCTTTCCTAATCCAGCACAAAATCAAACTCTGATTCTACAACCAGTCTTTTTAAAGGGCAAAAATGACTCAACACCTTTGTTTTGTATGGAAAAACTTTTTTTTTTTTTACACTAACTGCAAAAGTGCTTAAAAATGTTTATTCAGGATAACTAAGCATGTACTCCTTTTTTAACTTGCTGGAAGACTTACCTCTCCAAACTAGCACCCCCAAAAGACAACTTCTTTCAGAAACTAGATGTTTTACCTAAACATAGTAGCTTCAATGTTAGCCAGCGGTAGGTCGGCACTAGTGTTTTCCACGGTTATCACCTTTGACAGGTGATGTCCATCTATAGATAGTGGAAGCCACCCCATGGGGAGGTGTTAATAGCAGCATGGTTTCACTTTTGGTAATCAGGTAATCATGTGTATATACTTAGATTCGCATTATTTTAACATTCCTCTGCTACTCTGCACTTCAGGTTCGTTAAGCTGTTTCAATAATTACTGGGGTTCTGGCAAACACCAATGGAAATGTATATGGCAACTGCTTTCCTGAGCAAGTGTAATTTGTTTTATGGCTGTTCAAGTTATAAAATTGTTTTTACATTGTAGGTAAACAAAATCTTGATGTTTTTAAAGGTCACTGTAACTTAAGCTTCAAATTTCTGGCACAGTTTTATTAGTATTCACTTCGAAAGCTAATAAGATACCATGGTTTTCTATGTTACTCTCATTGTAACATTAGTAAACTGACTTTCAATAAAAGATTTATGTTATTTTGATGCACGACTCTTTTCTCTTTTTTTTTCTCCCAGCCAGTTTCTCTTTCAGAAGCTTCGTTAGGGGTACAGTCAAGGGATTATTTCTTTTCTGTTCACTGGTGTCCCAGAAGGGGGTCACTAACATGATGAGAAATTGAGAAATACAAACCCTTTAGCAAAGCCTGAGTGCTCAATTTGTTGCAGTTTCCTCATCTGAATGGCAGAGGTAGTTTACTTATTTATCTGTTTGCCTCTCCTCGTAAGCACTTCCTCTCTCACCCTAATGAGGATCAATTTCCTCTATCCTGTCCTGTAGACCAGGCGGTGGTGCTTAGTTAATAAGCTCACCTGTGCTGCATTCTAAAGCACTGTGCCTAGGATGGGCTCATGAGTTCATTGCCTAAAAACTGTTCCACCCTGGCCGTTTCATCTTCCAGGCAGGCATGTTACCTGCCCATCATTATTCTGGCATTTGCAGGGTCCTTGCCATCTGCTCATAGGCTGCATAGGAAATAAGTTATAAGTAGTCAAGGTACTGTTTTAATGTGAGAAAAAGAGAAGGAAGTCACTGATGAAGGGCTTATACATTTATTATGAGATTTTAAAAGTTTATGGTGATTACATGCTCCATTTCTTGTATTTATAATATTTTAGTCATATAATAATTCATTTAGATGAACACTGAAACAGTAACACACTCAACTGAGCCAAAGCAAAGTCTAGTTCACAGATGGCTGAAGTTTTAGCTCACATGCCATCTCACGGACTTCACAGTACCACCTGGAACATCATGCTGAAGGAGAGTCTAAACT